TGGGAAAGCCGTGGAGCTTTTACCACTAAATCGACAAACAATTGAGCAGCCATAATAACATTGAACTTTGTTGGCAAAGCACCAAAGTGTGCATATTTGGTAAGTCGATCAACAACAACCAAAATAACTGAGAAACCTCGAGATATGGGAAGACCAACAATGGAATCAAGAGTTAAATCCTCAAAGGCCCCTTCAGGAATAGGCAAAGGCTGCAACAAGCCCGCTGGAGCAGTGTTCATAGGCTTAATAGCTTGGCAAATGGCATATTCACGCACAAAACTATGTACATCAGTCCTCATATTATGCCAAAAAAATTAGCAGATAAACGTAATAGAGTGCGTAAATAACCAGCATGGCCCCCATAGGCGAACAATGTGCCTCATATAACAATGTTGGCTTAAGAGCAGAAGTGGAGCTTAAAAAAAAACGTTTACCATGGAACAAAATGCCATCCTTATAAGACCGTGAGGAATGAACCTGTTGTCCTTGAAGTGTACGTTGATGAATTTCAAGCAGCTCTGTGGATTGTTTATTCTCCTCTTTAATATGCTCCAACAGTGCAAAATAAGGTTCATAAAGTGCTACACAACAAGAAACCACAATCTCTGGTTCGTGTTGTCTTGATAGCCCATTTGCTACTACATTCGAAAGACCAGGTTTATACTCCTCCGTAAAGGAATACCCCATGAGCTTAGAAACGTATTTCTGTTGCTCTGGAGTTTGAATGGTCTGAGAGAGTATTTCTCTAAGGCTTTGATGATCGGTGCAGATTACAAAAGGAGAGCCCAACAAATACGGTCTCCATTTTTTGACTGCTTCGACCACAACATACAGCTCCCGGACATACGTGCTTGCTGCTGCCAACCGAGGACCCAATTTCCTGCTGAAATACGAAATGGGTTTGCCATGCTGAAGCAAAACTGCACTAATACCAGAGGAAGATGCGTCTGACTCCACCACAAACGGCAATGAAAAATCAGGCAAGGCCAGGATGAGTGTGGAGGACATGGCTTCTTTAAGAGACGAAAAAGCCATTTGAGCTTCTTCAGACCAAGTAAACTTATCCGAAGCTAATAAGTCTGTTAAGGGTGCTGCAATCGTTGCGTACCCACACACAAAACGACGATAATAGCCTGTTAGGCCCAGGAAAGCACGCAGCCCTTTGACATAAGTTGGTGGAGGCCATTGCAGCATCGCTGCCACTTTCTTCGAGTCAGCTTTAACACTAGATTCATTAACAACATGACCCGAATAGTCAATTTCGGATGCAGCAAAGGAGCACTTACTCAGTTTAACGTAAAACTGATGTTGCTAAAGGCAAGATAAGGTCAACTCCAAGTGCTTAACATGCTCATCAATGGATCTGCTAAAATCCAAAATATCATAAAAAAAAAACAATTATAAACTTTCGAAGAAAAGGGCGGAAGATACTGTTCATGGCAGACTGGAACGTTGATTGAGCATTAGTCATTCCGAACGACATCACTATAAACTCATAGTGATCGTCGTGGGTTCGAAATGCAGTCTTGAAAATATCTGCCTCATGAACACATATTTGATGATAGCCGGCCCGAAGATCCAACTTGGAAAAGACAACAACATGACAAAGCTCATCAAGCAATTCATCAATGGTGGGGATTGGGAAGCAATCGCGAACTGTGATGGCATTTAATGCCCTGTAATCGATACACATATGCCAAGAGCCACCGTTCTTCTTTACCAAGAGCACTGGTGAAGAATATGGGCTCTTACTTGGTTGAATATAGCTAGAAGCCAATAATTCCTTAACCTGACGTTCGATCTCAACTTTTTGGAAGTGAAGATATCAATAAGGCTTCACAGTAACAGGTTTTGAACCTTCAAATAAGTGGATTGAATGATCAATGCCACGAAAGGGAGGTAACATCTGAGGAACTGCAAAAACCGTATAAAACTTGCACAAGACTTGCCAAATTACATTAGGTATCAGATGTTCCAATGCTAAAATATCATCTAGAACTTGATTCTATGCTACAACAGATGGAAACAAAGCAAAACAACTCAGAGAAGAAGAGTGTTGCAGCACTGGGCCAGTTGATAATTGCACCTTCTCATTATTGGCCATGAACTCCATGGATAGGTTAGCATACTCATGTGTCACCTTACCTAATGATTATAGCCAAGGCATGCCTAGAATAATTTGGAGTTCTTTCAGTTCAAGGACCCAGAGATCCACACAGAATGTAAAGCCTTGAATAGACAAAGAAACTGCAAGACACTTAGTATCACATAACATGAAATCACCATTACCCAAGATTACCTTCATACTACGAGAATGTGAAAGAGAAAGGCCCAACTGTATGGAAAATTCCTTTTGTACAAAGTTATAAGAACTGCCAGAGTCCACCATCACTTGTATCTCCTTATCCCCCACTTTTGCAGCAAACTGCAACAACTTAGACATTGAGTTCATAGTTAAGGCATTCAAAACAGCGTCATGGCAGGATTGGGAAGGATCATGTGGCTGCCATACAATATCTTCCTCATGTTCAACAATTGTATTCTCTGCCTCTCCCATTAACAGCAACATTTTGGACTTGCATTTATGGCCCAAAGACCATTTCTCATCGCAAGTGAAACAAATCCCCAGTTTGCGTTACTTTTTTAACTCCTCTGGTGGTAATCTTTTTATAGGTAAGGATTGTGGTGCTGGTAAGGCCAAAACAGGGTTTTCTGAAGAAGTAGGATTATTATGTGAAGAAGTCAATGCATAACACGGAGTTATTTTGCGATTTGAATTCGTATAAAACGAAGCTTCCAGATCACGGTGATGTGCATCATATGTGAAAGCTAATTGAATAGCTTGATGCAAGGTTGTAGGTTCATGTAACTGGATTACTCGACGGAGTTCCGTATTCAAACCAGAAACAAAAAAACTCAGGAGTAAATCATCAGTTAAACTAGGCACTTGGTTCATTAGAATCTCAAATTCACGTACAAATTCCTCCAACGTACCAATTTGAGACAACTTCGATAATGTACCTCTTGGATCTGTGTAAGTGGAGCCACCAAATCGTTGGCATATTGGTTTAGTAAAATTCTCCCACTGTAAAAGCATTCCACTATTATGAATCCATTGAAACCACGAAGCTGCTGCGCCTTCCATTCGCAAACCAACAAGTTCAATTTTCAGATCTTCAGGAATTTGTTGAATTCTAAAGAACATTTCGCGTTTAAAGATCCATAGGTGTGGATTCTTGCCATCAAATGATGGAATCTCCATTTTAATCGATCGCAAAGCAATACGTTGCTCATTGAGCTGTGGAACCGTATGATGAGGTTGGGAGTTGACATTCGCCACCGGTGAGTGTGTACTAGCATGCGAAGGTTGCAGGTCTCTCATTCTCTCATCAATGGCATTGAATCGCATCTCACAAAAATTGGTGAGACGCAGTTCCATAGCTTCTATTGATTGATTAATGTGCTGAAGAAGTTCAACACATGTATTCTGTAGTTCATCCGCTACTTCTTGATCCCTTATGATTCTTGAGTGCAAGATCAACGAAAGCACCAATGATGCGGGTGATAAGGAAAAGGAAATGAAAAAGAAAGGTTCTGTATATTCTTCTATGAAAAATTACAACTCAGCATACTCACCTGCTTATATACTACACACTCCTTTATTACATGCACTCAACCTCTCACTCATTCTCTCTTAACTAACATAACAACCTTCCTATTATTGTGGAACTGACCCTCACTCATACAAAGTTGACTCTCCCTCATGCAAAGTCCTTCATCCATGATGGAGGCCTCAGCTGATCCTTGTTTGCACCCTTGCACCCTCATCTCGTGCCACAACTGCATCAATGTGGCGCCTTTTTCGTCATTCTCAAGGGCATTTGGTGCCTTGGTGCCAATTCTTACGTGCCAATTCCATTTGTTTAATTTTTTTGTTTTTAATATTACAATCTGACTCGACACAAATTTGAAACTGAGTTAAAACTTTCGACATGATTACAACTCATTTAATTATAATAATAAGGGGATGATTAAATTAGAAACCAAATGTTAGTTGAAAAAAATAAGGGAGAGATAAACATAATAAAAAAATTATGTTATTTGATATCATTGATTTCATTTTAATGTAATGGTAATAAAAATGTAGTAAAAATAAAAAGATTAAATAGGTAGGTAATATAACTATTCGTCTATTCCCTAATGATAATAATAAATACGTTATGTTTTGGTGATGATTATACTCATTACTATTTTAGTTTTATTACTCGTATGACCTGATTGGTTATCATTGAATCAATTTAAAATCAATGGTTAAATTAAAAACGAGAAAAAGTTAACTATTATTGATTTTAAATTAATCCAATAATAATTAAATAAATAATAAAAATAATAAAACTAATATAATAATAAGTATAACGTTCCATATGTTTTATCTATACTTACTATTAAAGAAGTTTAAAAGTTTAAGGGAAATATTAGTCTCTTTTTACATGAGGTAGCTTATCTCATTTTCTCTTACTTTGATTTCCGCACATCACTTTTTTTTTTTTTTTTTTTTTTCTTGTAATGGTAGGATCCATCTAGTTTCTCTCTGCAACATAAAATACCTACCTATCTTATGTAAAATGAAATTAATAAAACCCAAAGTTTAATTAGATATCAAACAAATGTTATAACACAACAACAAAAACAATTATGTGACTTAACCAGTAGCTTAATGCGTGTCAGTACGATAGTAAAATAAAATAACAAAAAAAATAAAAGGGTTCGCTTTTTCTGCCGTTACTGCAGATAACTTATCTGCAGTAAGTCAATACGACGTCATTTTAGGACGAAAATCATGGTACTTTTGTAATTTTAATTTATTTTAGAGTTATAATAATTTTTTAAAATTTCAATACTAAAACAACGTCGTTCTAAGAATAAATACAGATAAATTATAAATTATGTGTGTTAACTCCACAAACATTTTTATCAAAATAAAAACATGTTCACTTCTTTTCCAGTTTGGACTAACAAAACAGTGTCCAACTCTCACACAGTTATCTCCTTCACCTTAGAGTCGTAGACTCGTAGTTGCGTTTTCACTTTTCACTCCGTTGCATTTCCTCAGATTTCATGGCCAACAAGCTTTCCAATGGTAACCTCACAACTCTCGATTGCCTCTATATTCTTTCATTCTATTTTTTTAAATTTTCTCTTCGTTTCCGTCACTTTCTCAGCAAACAAACAGAGACCTCACGCAAAATTATGAACACCCTCTTAACTGTTATTCGATTTGGTTTGTGACCCTCAGAGGATATTCTTCAGCAGCTGAGAAATGGGACTGCAAAATTTGAGCTTGTTTCTTCCCCGGTTCCTTCAGTTGTTGCTCTTCCTAACCGGAACACAAGCTTATTTGGAATTGGGAATTGTAGCACTCTCTTTTTCGCTAGAATTGGGTCATCATTGTGAGTTTTCCGTTTTCGCTTTTCTTCTTTTGGTTTTTCTCTTTCTTGTGCCTGTATGTGCTTATGTTTTATAGGTTAAAGTATATCTTTTAATTTCAATGCATGTCACTCTATTTTTAAATAAGTTTTTAGCTTAATCCTTATATGCGCAATTGTTTTAAATTTGATCCTCGCTGTTTATTATTGTTATGGTATTATTTATTGGAGTTACAATGCAGTAGAATATAGGAACCAAATATAAAATAAGTGCCATGAATATGGACTAGGAATACTATTTTTTTAGTTGCATGACAGTCATTTTCAATCTGGTTCCTATATTTCACGGTAATTTCATGCCAATCCCACGATGTTATAACAACAAGAGACAGCAGGGATGACATTGAAAATGATTGTACATATAAGAACTAAGCTGAAAACATTTTTCATATAAATATATTTTAACATATTTTTATTTATTATTGCTATTATTATTCTGCAGGGGAACAAAAAAGGGTATATCTATTTGCCTCAAAGCCTTGGTCACTGGAAATTTATACGTTAAAAGTTTCTTGAATTTATCCTTTTGGGTTGAATGTGTCTTTTAAGGAAGGGAAAGATAAAAACAAGATGCTACTAAATTCAATGTGCTTATAAAATAAATAAAAAATGTATCTTTATCGAAATTGGATTGAATTTGAACTCTTTATTAATGGTTTAGAAGTTTGATGAGTTTGCTTGACCCTCACCATGTCTTGACAGTGGTGGACAGTCTCCAGCAATGAAGAAACTTGAGCGTTTTTCAGTTCAGAAGGTTACAGGGGATGGGCGGTGTCTGTTTCGTGCACTGGTATCATCTTTCATTGCCTTTTGTTTTATTCACTTTTCTGGTTTCTTGGTAGTGAAACACACATGCTGATTGGATTTATTGCACCTTTTGTTTGTTTTTATTTTTTAATTAATTCTTGAACTTTGAATATTTTTAAATCATGTATAATGTGTTGTTACTTGTTTCATTGTTTCTTACCTTAAAATATTCTTATTGAACAGTCTAGAGTTAAAAATGTTCAATTCAATCCCTGAAAACTGAAAGAGCTAAAAGTAAGAACCCAGATAACTAGCTACGTAAAACATTGTCAAGTAGCATTTTGAGAATTGAGATTGCTTCTAATGCTTGTAGGTCTTACTAAGAAACAAAAAATCTTTTTGACATCATCGACATTGGATTTCAAATGCAGAGTTGAGTAGATGACCTCAATCATTTGAAATCTAGTCTTACAAAAGTGTTAAACTCTGGTGCTTGTCTGCTCTGTTAATCAGGAAGAAAAAGATTGGAAAAATTGATAGAAGGAAGGGAGTCCTAAAGCAAAGTAATTTAGATAGTATTAACTGGTCTGTTTATATTAAGCTTGGGGTTGCTGGTGATGGACTCTTTTTATTGAGGTTTGAAGCTGCCAAACTGAAATCTAATCCCTTTGTTCATGACCTTTCTAGCTTCTATCTTTTAAGTTATTTAGTTTTAACTTTGTAACCACTATACTGCTATTTTTAAGCTCTGATAATTAACTCTAGTGAAGGAATAATTTTTGTCGAAGTTATCATTGTACTGTGTGTTGTGCAGAATGATATAGTTAGCCTTGAGATTACGAAGGTTCTTTGGATGCCACTACTCTTCGATTAATTGGTCTAGAAAAGTTATATAGTGATTAATCAATAAGCCTAGTAGTGTTTGCAAGATAATAAATCATGATTAGTGCCTTTAATGGAAGAAGGCCTTTATTTTTCTTTATTTGAATAAGTTGAAATGGCACAATCTTTTGGTTCCATATAAATATGTTAAATTTACGTTGTGAAGTCCTTCATTATTTTCAGCTTCCACCTTAGCAAGTTGTTCATATTAAATTTAGTTGTAAGTGGTAACAATTGGTTCCATGAAATTAGGTCAAAGGAATGGCTTACAATAAGGGAATTGCTCTTAACCAACGGGAAGAGAGAGAAAATGCAGGTATGCTGATATACTGGCAATAGGACATGGATAAAGATACTTTTGTTTGTTTTCTTTCAATTACAGAATGTTCATTATGCAACACAAATTTTGCATATGATACATTTGGTTGGTTCTGCTGTTAAGCTGAGCTACAGCTTCTTATCTTGTTCTTTTTTTCTTTTTCATGCCTTATAGTTCCCCCCCCCCCCCCCTTCTTTTTCTTTGGTTTTATTTTCTTGTCAATGTTTTGCCTTGCCCATGATAGCACAGATGAATTAAGAATGGCTGTGAAAGAAACTATATGTGAAAATGGTGGAGAACGTAAACTATATGAAGAAGCCCTCATTGCCATCACAGTCGATGAGACTCTACAACGGTATGTTTAGGAAACATTAACAGAAAATTAAGATCTTGAAGTATGTTGTTTAATTATATTTAATGCTATGAGTATGTGTTATTTTGCAGTTACTGCCAACGGATTGTGCGACCTGATTTCTGGGGAGGAGAATCGGAGCTACTGGTTAATACTTTCTTTATGCTTACTTCTTTAATTTGGCATGCTTTGCTTTCTTTTACTACTTTTATCTTTTAAGGATTAAATACATTTCATAATTTGGAGTTTATACCAGGTTTAATTAAAATTTTCTTAATTGGTCTTCTAACTTTTTGTAATAATTTCAATATCATTTACATGCTTTCCGATTAGAAGTATGTTAAGAGGGAAGACTTTGTTGGGTTCAGTTCTGTCAGATCTCACAGTGTGGATAAATTTATGCTTTCCACAATAGCAAAAACTATTCAAAGAATGACAGTTGAATGGATTCAATTGATGTGAAAGTTAAAAGACCCAGTGAAGAAATATTTCAGATGATGAAGTGCATTGTATTGTTTTGGCATCAATGAGTCAAAGACTGATGCACACAAGATTAATCAAATAGTTTCACCTCAAATGTGATTGCAGCTGGAGCTTGCAGTTTCATCAGGGACCAGAACCTATAAAAATTTATATCATCAAGGGACACGGAAATTTGACTCATAATCTAGCAACTAAATGATTTAATATTATATTTCATATTTAACCATAGAGGAAAGTGATATTATGTTTTACATATTTAGATGGAGCTTCTGAGAAAAACTCTCAATGGGACCTTTAAACACAATTTCATCATCACTTCTTTGGCTGAGTTGGTCGTACTTTTTCATTGGTTTAGGTCATGTTTTTCCAGATCGATGCACAAACCCCTCGGATTAAAATTCAGATACTGACCATTGACCATATTCTGGCAGGTACTATCAAAGTTATGCAAGCAACCAATTATTGTGTACATACCAGAACATGAGGTATGGCTTCAACTATTCTTACTAGGTCGATATTTATGTATTTACTTGGGAAGGAAGAACTTGTAATTAGTGTGTGCCCATCCTTCCACTGCTTTTATTCATGCTGTACTTGCTACAAGGCAGGTTACTTTCTTTATCAAATATTACGTGTATGAAAAATATATCTCGCCAGATAGATAAAAATGTGCTATTCCATTTATGAGAAAATTCGGGATCAATTGGTCATAAATCTGGTTTTTTCCGAAATAAAATGTGGACAGAGAGGTGGCATAGGATATTTAGTGCATTTGTAATGATAAGCTGTTCTGTGTCCAGTTTACAGAACTATTCTTATATGGTTTATGCTAATTTATTATGATCTGTTGTAACTTATAAAGGATTTGATGTAGAGTTGATAATATCAGGTTGTAAACGATTTTATCCTTATGGCAAGTAATTAGCTACTTAATGCTACATGTCGAGTTGTATGAAGTCCAGTTCGGCACATGTAATAGATATTATCTCTGAGTGCTCAGTTATTTGCAGATGATAGCATAATGGGTGAATAAGATGCAACTTATAGGATATATATAAGAGACGGAGAAGTGAAAGTATGATTTAGCTAACATCTGATGGACACTAACGACATTTTACCTATGGAATTAAGGCAGGATTTAGGTTTCCTAAGGCAGGATTTGGCTTTGAATAGAAAGACTTCAGGGTTTAGTGATTGGAAGGCAGAACCTTGGGATGCACCACTCCAAAAGCTAGTTCAAAAGGTGGGAGTGTCCAAAGTCTTATAAACCCCACATTAGTTGCCCATACAATTAATGTGGGACTTCAAGTCCCATACCTTGCAAATGGGATCGTAACATTCTACCACACTCTGTAGCCCTGGCGCCTTCGCGGGCTGGCTTTGCGCTAGTTTTTTACTAGCCCTGGGCGAACACTGCAATGCCGGCGTCACCACCAGCGCCGCTCGATTGCAACTGGGAGACATAGTGGAAGGCTCTGATACCATTTGATAAGAACCTTGGGATGCACCACCCCAAAAGCTAACTCAAAGGGTGGTAGTGCCCAAAGTCTTATAAACCCCATATTAGTTGCCCATACAATTAATGTGGGACTTCAAGTCTCATACCTTGCAAATGGGATCGTAACAGAAGGTCTGAGATTTAAGAAGATAAAATGATGGCTGAATTTTAAGCAGACATGACCGCTGAGCATTTGAGGCAGCAGCAAAATGAAAGTGTTTGATAACTATCTATGTTTTGCGAAGCTAAAGCAAGAGAGATATTGATTATTGTTTTTAGATATCAAAAGGAAAGAGTTTAAGGGCTGGTTTATGGCTTTGAACAGTCACCTTGGCACAGCCATGTTGAGTACCCTAGAATGGGAAATGCAGAGGGAGAAGGTGAGAAATAAGGAAACTTGTAAGCCTTTGGGCTTCAAATTGTCATTGACTTTTGTGTCGACAACTAGAGTAAATTTTAAAACTAAATGCAAAATTGTAGGCAAAAGAAAGACTTGCTAATATTATCAGACTTAGATCCCTGAATTCACAACATTTTCGGTTGGTACTCAGAGCAAAGTAAGGAGCATTATGAAAATCTTAACAACATATGTAGGACCATAGATAAAGCACTATTTGACTAATTTATATCATTGGACATTCATAACCTGGCCTTGTGCTTCCAAAAGAGGCCAAAATTTATATAATTAGTCCATGGCTGATAATCTGCAGCATTAACTTCTGTGAAGATACATGTATTTTCTAACCTGACTTGGCTTCCACATACCAGGATTTTACAGGATTGATCCTCCTTTCTCAAGTTTAGTAAAAAATTTACCATCTCTATGTCCATATTGATTTTTGAAATAGAGATTCTAATCTTTGAAATGTTTTAATTGTATTTAATTATGTCAGTGAACTCATAGAATTGGCTTGATAATTAATAAAGCTGAATTAAGCCAAGTTATGTTTGCATTCCTGCACCTAATTTTTTAAAGCTCTTTGTGTAAGCTCATAAAGGAGTGTACCCTTTGATCTATCTATATGTTCTAAGGTTGTTTAGTTTATGTACTAACATATCCTATTGTCTCATTGTAAACTAAATGCAGCATAGCGGCAGTGGTTTGGGATCTGGTTTCATTCCCATTGCAGAGTATGGAAGTGACTTTAGAAAGGGCTCTAGAAGAAAAGCTGTGAGGCTATTGTTCAGCGGTAAGAACCATTATGATCTTCTGGTATGAGGAACTGCATGGACGAAGGAGAAAAATGAAAATAGGTGGGAGATTTAGACCCCATTTTGTAATAGTGTTGTTTTAATGTACTATCACAAAAAATGTGGAGCATATAATAGAGAATTTGTGAATTGTTTTAATTTTGTTATTCTTTCCCCCGGTTGACAACTGCTACACTCGCACTTGAGTGTCTAAGGTAACTTTTGATTTAAATCCCTTTTACTTATAGTCAATATCCAGATATGGGACCTCCTTTATTTTTTCCAATTTTACTTTTAACGGATGTTCGGTGTGATGTATAAGACCTGATAATATAAGTATAACTTATACTATACATTATGACATTTTTAATTGTTTGATGTGACCATTATATAGTATAAGCTTATACAGCAGATCCTTTTATACATCAAAATGATATTAACTTAATTAGCTCTACAAGGGTAGGGTTAGACCTGATAAGGATTGATGTATTAAACAATGCAATTATCAGTAATTAATATATTATTTTAATATTAATATATTAAAAATAAAAAATAATTTTCAATATATAAAATTTTAAAATATTAGAGATTTTTATTTTTATAAAAATTAATATATTTTGTGGACACTCTGATCAACAGATTTCTATAAAAATTAATATCATCTGATGTATTTGGAAGAATTATATAAATTCATTATTAGAAGGAATTTTTATCAAAAATATTTATTTCTATCCTATCTAGTATTATACAGTGCATTACCAAACATTGGATAATATTATTTTATACAATATATTATCTTATACAATATCATGCGCCAAACGCTGGATAGTATTAAAATTTAATCAGATTTTGTACAATCAGGCCTTATACTATTAGGTTTTATACTATCAGACTTTATACTATACTGTGTACCAAACATAACCTAAGGGGCGTTTGGTAGAGAATTTTTTTTTTATGACTGGAAATCACGATTACCAAGAATATGTTGGGAAAATGAATTTCTCAGTAACGTGACCAAAAAGTTGTTTGGTAGGTCAAAATGTTATCAGGAATGTTGGCTCAAGTTTACTGATTCTATATTTAGTTGATTGTTCAAATATTATTGGGAATGTAAGGTGATTTTAAAAATTGCATTGATGACACTATTGGCATGGGAAGAAAATGATATAACTTATGTCATTTAAAATGATAAACATCAAACCCATATATATATATATATATATATATATATAGGAGAGAGATCATTTGACTCAACTCTCCATCCTAACCGTTGATTTTCGTCCATCCAACGGTTATAATTTAGGAAGTTATATTAATTAATTAATTATTAATTATACTATTAATGACAACCGTTGATTTCCGTCCGTCAACGGCTGGGATTTGGAGTAAGACTTAAAAGTCTTACTCTGGAGTCAAAAGAACCCTCCCCATATATATATATATATATATATATATATATATATATATATATATATAACTTAGGGTTCGCTTTTTCTGCAGTGACGACAGATAAGTTATCTGCAGTAAGCCCAATACAACGTCGTTTTGGGATAGAAATCATGATATTTTTGTAATTTTAATTTATTTCAGGGTTATTATATTCTTTATAATTATAGTTTTTTAATGTTTTAATTCTAAAACGACGTCGTTTTGAGAGTAAATGCAGATAACTTATCTGCATTAACTGCAGAAATATTTTTCTGTATAACTTATGTCATTTAAAATAGGTTTAGCGGTTGTACAGTGACTACACCTAAGGATTGATGCAGTCGTATAAAACTACGTCGTTTTATAGTGTGAAAGCATTAAATATGGGGAATCATAACCATATAAAGACGAAAAATAAATATAAAGCATTAAACATGAGGAATCATAACCATACAAAGGTGAAAATAAATATAATATTTCCATTTTCTATAATTAATTTCGAACGCGAACTTCCTTTATCTTAACCAAAATGACGTAGTTTTTAAGTGACTGAACCAATGCTTATATGCAATCGCATTACAAATTATTTTGCCTATATATATATATATATATAGGGAAAAGTAATTCTCCAGTCTCCGGAAATAAAGTTATCTCCGGTGAACTCAAAACGACGTCGTTTTGGGTTATAAGATTAAAAAATTATAATGACAGAGATTAATATAACCCTGTAATATATTATAATTACAAAAATACCTTGATTTCCGGCTCAAAATGACGTAGTTTTGAGCTCACTGGAGATAACTCTATCTCCGGTGACTGGAGAATTCCTTTACCCATATATATATATATATATAGAGAGAGAGAGAGAGAAATATTTGTCATTTTAAATGACATAACACTCTGTCCTTTTAAGAGAGAGACAAACACAATTTTTTTTTTTAAATTTTAAATTAAAAAAACCACTCACTTTCTCTTTGTCATGATTTTCATTTTTATGTGTCTATCTCTCTCCTAAAATGACATAACTTATATCATTTAAAATGATAAACACCAAACCTATATATATATATATATATATATATAAATATATATATATATATATATATATATAAGTGAGGATATTCTAACTACCAAAAATTCTTACTACTAGCTTACTACCCATCACATTACCATTGGATCAAAGAGAGAGAATAAAAAAAATTTGAAGAGAAAAAAAATGTTAATCTAATGGTGATTAAATAGGTAGTAAGTTGGTAGTGGAAAGTTTTGATAGTGAGAATATCCCTCCTATATATATATAACTTAAATCCATACAGATTTAAAAAAAAAAAAAATTCTTAATTTTAAATTTTCAAACTACTTTTTTTTGGGGTACATAAAGCAAATCACTTAATTCCAAAAAAAATAATAAAAAAATCCTCGAAACAATTTATTGATGAAACCCCAAAAAAGAACAAGAAGAAGTCACTTAAATCCCCAAGGATTTATTGATGATATGATTCCAAACATGCAGAGATTCACTTTTGTTTTTTAAAATTTATTTTGTACAAAATAGTTCTTAATTTTTCAACTTTTATTTCGATTCTTTAGAGAGTGTGTAGTATTATATTTTTAAATATGCAGTAGATTGGTAGATTTTTATTTTTTTTAAGATCGTTAGAGGAGTGAGTACTGTTGGAATTAATGAAAGAATTAATGTACAATGATCCATTAGTTATGAATAAGAAGTGTGTTAATAAAGAAAAGAGAAAAAGGGAAGATGAATAAGTATGTGGGTTTTAACAAGTCTCACATTGGACAATTAGTAGAAAGTGAGAGAGTATATAAGCTCTCACCTCACTCTCCTAGATTGACCCTTGGGTCACTACATATTTTATGTATGGGGAGAAGCTAGGTGGGCTTTGATTCACCACACGCGCGTCGTCGCCAATCGGTTCGATTCGATTCATATGTGTGTAGTAAAAATAATTTTTTATTAAACAATTTTTTAATATTTTGTCTTGTATCCGTTGCTTCCCTCCAAAAAGTGTCCATCAAACTTTGGCATCTTTGAAAATTCTGTTTTGGATAATTGAATGCCATTATAGGTGCATTTAACATACATTTCTCTATTCCAACCCCGAAAATCTCGTGACCATTCAGGAAATTGAAATAAAAGTATACGAATGATATTTTTAGTTATTATTAATGAGGGTAATATAAGATATTTTCTAAGAATTGATTGAGTTATTAATAAAAAACCTCGTTTTACTTTAGCAAATAGAACGTCTATCTACCTCCTCTGCTTAATACATGAATTCAAATCTATCAGTGATATAACATCACTCATCTCTTCAATAACAAGTACTTGAACAGAAGATAGGAATCAGTATGTCCACCAGACTCACTTTTAGTCGGGGGAATTCTTATCAAGTGTGATGCATGTAATAATATAATAATTATTATTTATAAAAGATAAAAAATTATTAGGATTACAAAATTCGATTAGCTTAATGATTTATAAGAATATTGTTTCGTTATTTTTTTTTTTTTGCTATTAAAATGTATTCCGTAATAATAAATTTGCATCTGACATAATTTTTAAAAAAGTCTTATTAAAATATAATCCTAAAATTGAATGTTTCATTCGCTTCAAGCCTAAATATGTCCATATTAGTTACAATTTGACTTGGGGTAAATGTATTTATTTGATGGGCTTATTGTTGCAAGTTTAAATGTGCTGTAACTTAATACTGATAATTTTAATTACACTTGTTATTTGTAAAAGTATTATTATAAATTAATTTACGAGATAATTTTATTGCATTGCATTTAATCGTAATAATTAAATTAAACTTTGAAGATTATTTATAATTTAATTTTTAATAATATAATATGAAAAATTAAAAAATGTATTTATAAACTAATAAGAGAATTTCATTTTAGAGTAAAAAGTATAAATAAATTATATTATAGTATATTATATAATTAAATAACAAAAACTAAATATGAAAAAGCAATGTACTAAAAAAATATATGAAAAAACAAGGGAAAAGGAGGAAACCTTCTTTCTGTATATAAGAAATTAGATTCCAATCCAAATCTAAAATTTAGCGATTATTTATGTAGTTTCTTTATAAAAAAAAGTAGTGAACTATCTTCAATAAAAATATACAAATTTTATGAGTTTATACTTTTTACTTCCCAATTTACAATATATAATTTTGGAATTAATTAGGAGATAAAATTATGTTCGACATTGCGAAATTCATATTTTTTTCTTTTTCTCTCTTTTCCTCATACAGTTTCATATATGTGTGGAAGATAATTTTATCTCGTATAATATGAGAAATATTAAACATTATAATTTTTTATTATTTAATTTATAATAACTACATAAAATTGTAATTTTAAAAAAGGAGATATGGGGTACAATAAATGGGAAATATATTTCTTAATATGATATATAATAAAAGGAGATAATAAATTACCTCATGCAATATAATTTTTTTTTATTAATGAATCTCATCCATTATATTATGTATGGAATAAAATAAAAAAAAATATTTTCCATGAATATATTTAACAGAGAATAGCAAAGCGTGCCGCAAAATGTAAAATCGCCTCATTCCGAGGAACGTTGTCAAAAGCAACACGTGGCAGATAGTTCAGTGACACGTATTATATCATTATCACTATAACATCCAACCAAACGCTCCAACAGCGACAACGATGAAACTACTGAGCGAAAAACGAAAAACTAAAATAACACGTGTTATATAATTAATTCTGATTTATTTTTATTTACGGGTTCAGTTTGTGTTCTGATTCTTTTCCCAGTTTCCTCTCTCTCTCTCTCTCTCTCTCTGTCTTGTCTTGTCTTTGTCTCTCACAAAAATAAAACCCAATCTCGTATATTATATTAGGGTTTGTTTGGTTCTTTCGTTGTTGTTGTTGTTCGTTGGGAACGATGATGATGGAAGGAGCGAGCAACGGAGGGATGTTGTACCACGAGGTACAAGAGTCGAAGCTCTGCGCTGTGCATTGCGTCAACACCGTTCTTCAAGGTCCCTTCTTCTCCGAATTCGACTTGGCTGCACTCGCCTCCGATCTCGACATCAAGGAGCGACAGATGATGCTCCCCGCTCTCTCCTCCGGCGACTTCCTCTCCGGCGAGTCACACAATGTCTCCCTCGACGGCGATTTCAGCATCCAGGTCCCTTCCCCTTCTCCAATTAGGGATCCCCCCCCCCCCCCCCCCCCCCCCCCCTAATTCCTCTTTTCTCCTTTTAATCCCTTTCCTTCTTTTGTATCAATGAAATTGAGGGTGAGTGTTGAAACGGTTTCAATTGTTTGATTAAATAAATTTTCCTGCATATATAATTACTGCTTGCAAGAGGTTAGTGTTGTTGCCATGTGACTCAGAGATCATAGTTTCGCTTCATGTAATCGGGTTTTCTTTTTCTTTTTCTTCTTCTTCTTCTTCTTCAAATGCAAGGTAAAACTGCTTACTATTGACCCAAATAATGGGTCTCGCCCTTACCTGAGCGAGGAGCTTTATAGCCCTAGGTTTACCTTTATATAATCACAGCTTGCAGTGCATGATTCAATAGTCATTATGGCGATTAATCTTGTACCAAGTAGACAATTGAATGAGATATAGGATGCACTGAAGTTTTCTGCATGTTTGAATTAGGAATCTAGAACCAGATTTTTTGTTTCAGTTGTATATCTTTGGCTGTAGTACAACACTTTGGTGTGATTTTGACAAGTTTTATACAAATGTCTTGATGCTTTCGTGCGCGTGCACTTTGTATTGAGAAATACAATTAGATGTCTTTGGCATTAACTGCAGTCAAAAGTTTTAGTAGAGAAGGGGTTTAAGCTAATCTGATTAAAATATCCCCTATCTACTGCTTATGCTTAGGTTGCATCCTTGAGTTGCTTAATCTCCTTGCGCCAAAAATGTTCATGCCCATTTTTAATTGATTTGGAATTTTGGTAGTTGTAGTGCAGTTGGATATTGGATTTAGGGTTATCTGCTTGTAACAGAGTCCATTTTTATTAGCATAATTGGTGAATTCTGTTGTTTTAGATGATGATAACGTGTCAGGCCAATTGAACTGAGTCAAATCCTTGTCAATTCTGAGATTGAGGGAAGGGGATTACTGATATATGTTGGAAATAATATTTGATCTTTTTTTACTTGTACCATGCTTTTGTGCTTTACACTAGTAAGGTTTTGCTTTTAAAGCCAACTCCCTCTATTCACCCTCGTTTGAACTGTCCCCCTTAATATTGCCACCCCATCCTTAGAGAAGGCAAAACATAGAACTATTTTGGTGTTATTCTTTCGTTTCTCTAGAGAAGTCAAAATTGGATTTTTCACCCCTCTAGATTCCATCCTTTTCTTAAATAGAAATACAGTCCAAATATTTGATGTAATGTGCTTGTTTTAGATGTCTTATATTTGTATTTGTTAATAAAAACGTGAAACTCTTGTTTTTATCAGTTTACCAAATAGATTAATTTTTTTTGTTTTAAAAGTTTGTCCAAATGAGTATTCAGTCATTTGATTACTGATCTAAGCATGCTTGCCAATTTACAAAAGAGTCCAAAAACTATACTTTTTGTTTGGAATATAACTTAGGTAAAGTTCCTTGGGTGCTTGTAGTGTTGTTCTCCAATAAAATACACAACTTGTATCATTTTTTAGATCTCAGCTATGAGAATATTAAAAAGGAGGATGAGTTGGCTGAAAAATAATACACATGTTATGTTTTATTAGAAACAGCACGACAAGCTCCTAAAGAACTTTATCTAAGTTCTGTCCATTTGTTTGGGTCCAGGGGAGGGCCCATCAATGGGGTGAGCCATAGGGGATGCACACAGGGGGTAAGGGAGGGGGAGGGGATGGAAAAGGGGTGTGAAGTGCATTGCGGGAATTTAAACCCCTTTGCTCTCCTTGAATGTCCCACAACTCTACCAATGAGCTTTCTGAAGGGGACATCTAAATAATTTTTTTTTTTAATTATCAGTTTTCCTGATAAATAATGTACTTAGATTGATTCCTAAGTATTTTTAAAAGTCTATTGTTCCACTTGATATATTTTATATGCATTATTCAGTCTCTGGATTTCATTTTTCGCCATTGAACTCAAAATCCAAGTTCTGCTACTGTTTTATATATATATATTCGTCTACCATTTGTAGTTACGTACAACTATATTTTTGCATATTGTCATGCCTTTGGTGTCTTGTATGATTTCTGATTTTGGGAAAAACATTATCGTTAGAAGTAGTTGGTTATTGTTTAGTGAAATGTTTGGTACGTACCTCAAATACTTTTTTGGGGAGGCAAATTAGGACTTGCATCCTTTACAATTTTATTTATGATTTAGTTAATTGTGCAAAGCCTTTCCTGTAGGTTTTACAAAAAGCTCTGGAAGTGTGGGATCTACAAGTTATTCCCCTTGACTCTCCAGTTGCCGAGCCTGCCCAGATTGATCCTGAACTGGAAAATGCCTTTATTTGTCATTTGCAAGACCATTGGTTTTGTATCCGTAAAGTGAATGGGGAGTGGTATAATTTTGACAGTCTCTATGCAGCTCCACAGCACCTTTCCAAGTTTTACCTTTCAGCTTATCTTGACTCTTTGAAAGGATTTGGGTGGAGCATATTCCTGGTGAGAGGGAATTTTCCAAGGGAGTTCCCCATATCCTCATCTGAAGCTTCTAATGGTTTTGGGCAGTGGCTTTCGCCTGAAGATGCCGAGAGGATAACTAAATCTTGCAACTCAGTGCAGGCTCCGCCCCAGAGAATTAATGAGAGCCAACAACATAACGATCAGTTTCTTTCACATGGGGAAGCTGAAATGTTTTCAGACATGGAAGATGAGGATCTAAGGGCTGCAATAGCAGCTAGTCTGATGGATTCGTCCCCAGCTGTGGCCATTGCTGAAGCCAGTACTCCTCAAAATGATAATCAAAGTAGTGAACAAGTGGCAACCACTGAAGCTACCCCTCCAAATGAACAACACACCAAGCAAGTGGAACACATTGAAGCTAGTCTACCTCTCAATGATCAAAGCAACAAAAATGTGGCAGCTGTTGAACCCATTTCCCTTCTGAATGATCAAAACAGCCAAGGAGTGCCATCTACTGTATGTGGCAACCCTCAAGATGAAGATCTGAATAAAGAAAAAACCGACTAAGAGGAGTGGCTCCTATTTTGTTTTTGCTATTGAGGACAATAATCCATTCCAATTTTAGTGGTCCGAAACATACATCATTGGCTTAAAGTCATGATGCTGTGCAGTATACACATTCTCAATTCGATTGCGTGATGTATAAACTGTAAGGAAAACCCTTCAGCATTTCCATCTAATCATGATAGTTACCAAGTTTTGACAATCTTTTATAAAACCCTTCGACCTTTCCATATGATTTGTGATAGTTACCAAGTTTGACGATGTTTTTATACAGAACCCCTAGTATTTCCATGTGATTATAGCAACCAAGTCTTGACAATGTTGTATGCCATGATTAGACTCTTGATTTATAGATCACTTAGAAATAATACTGAAATAAATAAATGCAGGCTTTACTGTCATTATCGAAAATTTCGTTTTACGAAGATCTGGGGAATAACATGAACAAGTGAGGAAAATAACAAGTGAGGAAATTTTTTTCGGTGCTACTGATGTATTGACTTTTCGGTGCATTTTTTATTTGTAATATGAATCATTTATTTTAATATCAGTTAAGAGAGTAATTTAATAAAAAATAAGATACGTATCATATTATGAGTGGAACATATAACAAAAAAGCTCATGCATCAGTGGTAGCAGTGAAGAAACTCTCACAAGTGAGGGCAAAGGATGATGACATATTTACACAATTAACCAGAAGGACTAAAGCAGTCATATATACCATATAAAAAAGAACAGTGACTAAAATGTTACTGTTCCTTAACTTTTTTTTCTTAAATGTCACGTTAATAGTGTTATTTTCAATATGCCACGTGGACAAGTTTGTTGGGCACGGTAGCGAACTCAGTTTACTAATGTGACACGTTCTTAGTGGATACCAAGTTCATAACCTTAAGTAGCGAACTTGGTTGCAATCAATGCACCTGCACGTTTCCATTTGCCACGATGACACATGACAAACATGTAACGAAGTTCGCTGCCGTGGCAGGTGAAAACGTGCAGGTGCATTAATTGCAACCAAGTTTGCTACTTAGAGTAGCGAATTTGTCTATGTCTGTTGACGTGACATTTAGGAAAAAAAATTGGAAAACAATGGTATTTATTTTGATCACTGTTCCATATAAAAAAGACTAAGCAACCACAACTGAAATTCTGTGGTTCTAGTTGATTTAGAAGATAAAAGTCATTTACTTAATTGATATCATGTATTTTTCACTGATATCAACTTTCGGTTGTCCAAGGGTGGTGATTATTGATTACGTGTCTGTGCAAAAATGTCAACAACTTTTTTTTTTGGTTGTTAAATCGTCGTCTCATTTAACCACTGGATGGTATTCGATCGTTTCAAATATCCCCTGCCTTGACCTAAAAAAGGGGTCGGGGATTATAAAGATATCAGTTATTTGATCATTAAAAAATAATGTTCAAATCGTCTTTTTGTTTACAATTTGGTTAACAGAGTTTCTTATTTAAAAATAATATCAATATTATTTTTTATAATTGAAGAATTTAATTAATATCTACTTTAGAGCAGCAAATTAATGTCACCACCATCTTTTAGCTAATTAAAACGTGTATCAAGAAAAGACAACAAAAAACTCTGAGAAGGAAGATAACAGTAGGATAACAGTTACTCTTGAAATGACATTGGTTGCCCGTCAACAAGGAAGATGGTAAAAACTTGTCAATAGGTATGTTGCATCTGATAAGAGATATGGGATACCATATGATATTTTAATATGTTAATTCTAAAAAATATTAGATTTTGACACAGTTATTTTTGATATTTTTAATTTATGTAGTGTATATTATATTTAATATTTAATAATTTAACAAAAAATAAAGTGAAACTTATAATATGTATTTTGCAAAGAAACATAAATATCACAAATATTTATGTTAAACTCAATAAAATAATAATTGTAATTTAACAAATCTAATAATTAGAATTATGGATAGGTTATTGTTGTACCTATTTTTTTTTTCGCCTATCTTTGTCTACCACTCTAAAAGATCATTAGATCAGAATTTTAATTAACATTTATCTTTCTCTCTTCTTTTTAGATTATGATCTAACGGTGCTGGAGAGTGATAGACAAAAAAAATAAAATAAGTAGAATAACCTATCCCTTAAAATTAAAAATACAATGCAATACAACCTTTAATTTTTTTTTTAATCTCTACAATATATGTTAGAGTGTTGGAGTGTGTCAAAAAATGTCAAAGATGACATATCAAATCTTTTGAAGTGTCCTGCATCATAGTAAACAGCACACAACAAAGGAACGTGAAATTAAGCATAAACTTTGTTTTTGTGTGTGCCCCTTTGTCTTTGTAACGAGGTAAGGAGTAGAAGACTGTTGTGTTGTGTGGGTTGGCAACACAGAACTGAAAAGCAAAGAACTTTTAGGCTGGAAACTTAGACAGCCAGCCCCAGCTTTCAACAGCAATCCTTATAATACATAATTCAGGGTCCACTGCTATTATAAAATTCAAAAGAATAAAATAACAAAATAAAAATAAAAATATAGGTAAGTTGAATAAAACTATAAAAGTTCAACATTTAGTTCACTGCTTTTCCTTTTCTGTGGATCATCTCAAAGCTCTTTGCTTTTTGTTGAGATAGATCCTTTTCTGGGTTCAAGTTCCTGTCTTTAGCTTCTCCCCAAAATGGGTTCATCTGATCGATTGTTCAACAGGCAAAGAACTCTTCATGAGATCCTTGGAGGTGGTCTGGGTATGCCCATTTTCTCATAGTTTTGATTAAATTTCCTAACTGTATTAGTAATTGTTTTAATTGGTATGTCACAATCTTTTTCTTGGTGTTTATTTGTGTTCATTTATTGCTGTTTACTTTAACTGTGGAATGGCCATATGAGGTCTTTTTTTTTTTTTTTTCCTTGCAATAATTGGAAAAGGGAGAACAAAACCCAATGAGAAGAAAAGAATGAACTGATCATTGACCTTAAATCTGTTTTGAATTAATCCCATGCTTCAATACAGTTGCAGATTTAATACTGTGGAGGCGGAAGAATCTAACTGTGGGGATATTGTTGGTCACACTAGCTGCTTGGGTGGTGTTTGAAAGATCTGGTTATACTCTTTTGTCTCTTGTTTCTAATGTTCTCCTCCTCCTCATTGTCATTCTTTTTCTTTGGGCCAAATCAGCAGCAATTCTCAATAGGTAATACCCACAGAAATTATGTTTCTTTGGATATACTTGACTTGGATCTTCTTACTGTGTGCTGTTTTGAACCCTGAAATGTGCTAGAATGTCTAAGCATTTATAGATCATTGAGACTTCAAATTCAAGATATTTGTTCTAATCTAGAATTGTTGATTAGAATTGTTATGTCTTCTTACTTTGTAGATTTTTCTTTTCTTTTAATTTATAGGGTCCAAGGCTATTTTTTTAAAGATGAATATTGGTATGGTTTAGTGGTTAAAGTTTGTGTAACATGTATGCTGGAATGGAGTCTGTAGATTTTACAATCTTAGCTGTTGTAGTTTTAAAAAATATGAAGAATTGTTTAAAAACTTAATGCTCTATGCAAAATTGTATGACAGATTTGAATAAAATGTGCAAAACACCTTGGTATCTTGATGTTTAGAACTTAATTTTTTTGAACATTGGAGGGGCAACAGTTGTCAGCAGTTGCTTTTGTGCCCATTGAAACCTATTTTTTAAATATCATACTTGAGAACCCTGAGTTTTGGTGCTGCTTGTTAAGAGTAATTCTTGAGTGGGCAGAATTTGCAGAGAAATGACAAAGGAGAAGGGAGAGAGAAGATAGAATTAGAGAATGATTAGAAGAAAATAATTGTTTGATTGTTTCCTTTTCCATGCAGCCATTGTGACCTTTATAACAAGGATTTAAAATACATAAAAGGTATAGCCAGCTAATTGATACCAATCTAATGTCCACTTTCGTGTCATGCCTACATCTCTTCGTCTAACAAGCTAGGTAAATCCTCTTGAGAGAGTCCCTGTACCTGGGTTGTGATGTTCTAGAAGGTGGCTTGGTAATTGAGCACGAAGCCAATATGAAACAGCTTGGCGAGGAGGGTAGTGGATCAAAATAATTGGGATGAGATCCGTCTAGCGGGCGCGGAAGCTAAGAAATCGTCGAGTTGTTGAACTCGGAGCTTGGAATTCGATGTATTTTCAGGTTGGTTGTAAAAACAAAATTAAATGGAGAAGAATATAAAAGAAGATGCACATAGCGATTTTAATGTAGAACACCTCTTCAAATGATGAGTAAAAATCACGGAACCTAGTTCAAAAAATCTTCCATTATAACAAGTAGGATTACAATGAGTTCTTCCCTAGTATTTCTCTAGAGGATTACACAATTCTTCACCCTCTCAAAGGATGGAATACACAAAGTTTTCTCTCCCTATGGAGGAATACACCCTCTCTTCTTTGAAGAGGAATTCAAAGACAATCAACCTTATCTTTCTCTTATTTTTTCCTATTATATAGATGGGGTAGTGGTTTGAATCCGGAAAACAGCCTCTTTCTGAATATATGCAAGGGTAAGATTGTGTACAAGGATTGTCGTCACCTCACCCTCTCAAGTTGGGGTTAAATGGCGAGTGATTTTTTTTATATAGATGGGGTAGACTCTTCATTTCATGCCTTAACATTGACCACGGTTGTTTTTAAGACATGGAGTCTTCTGCAATTAATGTTCAGCCACCAAGGTATTAAAGGAGGAACATCACCCGACAAAATGTGCATCTTTAGCCTTTGATGGGTGCGCTGGTGAAATTGAGCAGTTTCCTAAGTGTTGACAATCAATCGGTAATGTAGAAAATGTGATTCTCTCATTTGTTAAGTGTCCTGATCTTAAATCCATTTATTTACAGTTCATTTTGATGCTGAAGTAGGACAGATACCTTATTTGTATCTCAATACCTGTAAAAATATAGCCCTTAAACTAATAAAGTCCGGTCACAATACATTGGCTACCTATGGAAGAGTTATCATGATGTTAATATGTATCATTGGTTGGTTTGTTATGCTTCAAAATTTTGTGGAAAGTGTTGCTTCTTAACACCTTCACTTGAAAATGATGTTGTAGTTTAGTCACTTTACAATACCAGCTTTCATCATTCTTAACATGTCATGTTCAGCCAATTGCATCTGTAATTTTCGGGGTCCAACTCATATAGTTGTTAATGGCTTGTTGTTTATCAACAAAAGTTGAACTGTTATTTTTCTTTTGACAGACCTGCTCCACCTCTACCACAGTTGCATTTGTCAGACGAAATGGCGAATGAAGTAGCAGATTTTATCCGCACTCGAGTTAATGATCTGTTTTCAGTTTCTCAAGACATTGCCCTTGGTAAGGACTCAAGGATGTTTCTGAAAGTAGCTGCATCCCTCTTGTTGATTTCAGTTGTTGGTGGCTTAACTGATTTCCTTACCCTGGCATACACCAGTAAGTTTCTTAGCTTCATTTGATCAAATTAGACTCAGAATTAGTCACCAGTTTTTGAAAATGAAGTATAAAATTAATAAAAATGAATTTGTTTGGTGTGGTTTTGTTATGTGGCAGGTCTTTTTGTTGTTCTTACTGTACCAGCACTCTATGAAAGATATGAAGATTGCATAGATAGATATATCTTGAAGGGTTACCGCAAATTATGCCAATTGTATGTGAAAATAAATGAGAAATATGTTAGCAGAGTCCAAAATTGGATTCTGGAGAAGAAAAAGCTGGACTGAGTTTTTTTTTTCTTTTTCTTTTCACATTCATTTTATAATATCTTTTATTACTCTTCTAAAATATTTCTTACAGGATCATTGGTGAGATTGTGATTGTGAGTTTGGAAGACGGTAGTGATCTCCTCCTTAAAATTAGTTTCTTCCTTTTGCGTTTTCCATCTTCAATGATGGACTTCTTTTTTGATACAGAATGATGGACATCTTAAGAGGTTTTAAGATTTTTTATTAGGATAACCATAAGAAAGACCACCAAGCACGTGGATTAACTGATTAGGGGTTGTTATAGCTTAACTAGTGGTCTCGAATTTGAGTCTTGGATATGCAGCTGTGTAAAAAACACGATAGGAAGAGTTTTGTTACCCTTGTGGTTCTACGTGGCTTCACTAGTTTAATCAATTAATCGATGAACTAATAGAAAAATCCAAAAAAATAAAAAATAACAATGAAAAGATGTAGATGCAGCTACCTATCCACAACCTAAGTATTTGAACATGTAATATAGGGGGCAGCTATTATTACAGTTATATGTAGATTTGTGCAGACTTCACGGTTCATTCACATTCAATTCAAGAAACTAGCTCAGTAACTCTTTTTTTTCTCTCTCTAATATTTGTCTATGTAACATTCTCCATGGAACAATAATACATATACTTAGGTAAATTTATTCCTCAAACAATGCTAAATAACAGGTCAGAAAATGTCCAGTCCGATTAAAATTGAATTTGGGCGGAGTTGATTAAAAACTTTGGGTCATGATCATTTTACACCAGTGTTTACATTCTCAATCTTTGACTGCTGATCCTACTTGTATCTAATGGTTCTAATTTTTTAGTAATGTGAGCCATTAGATACAAGTGAATCAATGATCAAAATTGAATGTAAGACTTCTAACTTTTATATTAGTGTAAGAATATCCTGTTTCAAAAAGAATTATGATCATTTTACAGGAGTGCAAGTTACTTGAATACTGCCACTTAGTATTTTGTAATCGTGCATAGGAAAAAGCTTGTGAAAATTGTTACTCTACACACGCACACACTGGCACCCTGGAATGCCGCATGTAAAATAACTTGCTTTGTGCCATAAATGGTCACATGTGAAGGACACAGTTTATTTATGAGAAAAGTTCAAAGATTTCCTGTGATTTGTTCCAAAATCATTTAATTTTATGTATTTTTTTAATATCATTTATCTTTTATTTGATTTTTTCCATCAAATGTACCTTTAATTTCATTAAATATTGTGCTAATCTGCTCATTTTGCCCATGTGAAAAGTAAAAAAAAAAAAGAGCGATATTCTCATTACCAATATTTTTCACTACCAACTTACTACTTATTTAATCACAATTAGATTAACATTTTCTCTCTTTTCAAAAATATTTTAACATTCTCTCTCTTTGATCCAATGGTAATGTGATGGGTAGTATGTTAGTAGTAAGAATTTTTGGTAGTTAGAATATCCTAGCTCAAAAAAAAAAACACTAGGGAGACAAATGATTGTAAAAGAGAAGTACAAGGGGATTACAACAGATAAAATATTAAACTATACGGATTTTTTGAACTTTTCCAATAATAATTTAAGAAAAGAAAAAAACTTAACATGAGCAGTAATATGGAACCACACAAGATAATGATGTACATGACCTTCACAAATAAAAGATGTTTTGTTCAACTATCATCCATATGTGTCTTTTAAGTTTGTCATTGATATGTGCCTTTTATGTTTGTGGATCATTATATTTGAATACATCATTATTATTCATGCATGTGGTTGCTAAAGAAAAAAAAATTATTATTCTAATGGTGCAATTTTTTTAATAATTTTAAAACTAATTTAAAAAAATAGAAGATTAAAATAATTGAAATACAACAAAAAGGTAATAATCTTTATCCATTTTTTTATTTTTTTTACCACATTTTGATATTCTTTAGAACCTTGAATTCAAAACGAAAATGGTGCTTATACATACTATTCTTCTTGTACTAATTTTACACCGGTATAAAATTTGGAAGGATTATACTTATCACCAGTTAAATTTATCACCCTTACAATCAATCTAATTACCGTTAGATTTGAATTGGTGATTAATTGTCCCTTATAATCTTAATTTTTTCTCTCACATCCCCTCTCCCTCTCTCTAGGTTTTCATTCCCTCTCTGTCTTTCTCTAGTCTTTTTTTTGGTAAACAAAAGGAACAATGCCCCAAAAACAACAAAGCAAAAACAAAACAGCAAGAAGAAATAAACTAATCAGGTGCAACAGTCTAGATCTGAGCAGAAGATCTCTCCAGATCAGCGAACTGAGTAATAAAAAAAAAGCAAACTGAGTAATAATTTTTTTTTAGTAAGATTAACAAACGATTTAACGAATTTTTCATTGTCTTTGACAAACCAAGGCCATTGTAGTATACTCTTAATCTTCCTAGGATCCATGGACATTCTCACTTTGGATATTATGTTGCCTAAGTATCCAAATCATTTCTTCTTTAGGGTGTTGGAAGCCTTTATCACAAATGGCGAGACTCTCATATATGTATATATATATATTCATCCATTATCCTTCCTTGCCTAAAAGTGGCGAGACTCTCATATATGTTTCCCTGAGGTTGATCTATAAATTGTTGAATCAAGATTACCATGGAATCTTCCAAATCTATAAATTGTTTTGTACATATATCGATAATAGATGTGAAATGAAATGCAAATTCTGGTCTGCAAATATCTATGCCGAAATCAGAATTATCGAAGGTAGCCAATTAGTAAACGTATTAATGATATAAATATGCAAAATTATTTTTAAAAAATTGTTATATCAAAATAATGATAGCGTAAATATTTATTCATGTCGATAGTGTATCAAATATTAAATTAAACATTTCTTCTGACATTGATTCTCTAATAATATTCATCGTTCACTGGCTGATTTTATTATTATTATTTTTTTTTTGTAATAACCATTATTTTAACTTCTTGAAACACTATTTACTTTTATAGAGATGTCTAGTCAAAGACTAGACTAGTGAGATAATATTGGATCTATGACTTTTTCAATATCTCCATACGGTTGAGTATAAACATATTATTGCACATTATAATAGATGGCATAACCAAGACTTATGGTGTGTGCACAATAACAACTAATGAAAAAGAGAGAGAGAAAAAAAATGTTTGTATATGCAAATTTTACCTCTTATGAGTTTACTTGTAAGTAGTGAAATTTTGAACCTCAAATGAATTTTTGGGAATCTAATGCTTTGATTTATTATTGTCACACTAGAATTAGTATAATTAAAAAATCTTTCTTTAGTATCCCTCCTACCCGTTTTTCCTTCTTTGGTCTTAGAATGTGGATCTTTATGTCAGGTTCATGACATTTACTTTTCAAGAGATGATTGAAGCAAGAAAGAAATATTACGATCTAGACATGTAAATTATGTTCATTGTGTATTTTTCTTCAATTAACTTGGTCCTTGCATGCCTAGCATTGTTCTCTAATGTTACTTTTAACAATTCTTGTGTATTTTATGCATGGACAAACTTCTTGCTACTATATGTGTTCATCGTATTTCAAAGTGATAATTCCACGAATTTTTTTTTTTTTGTAAGCCCCTCCAATGTTGGGTTTTTTTTTAATAAGCACGAAACCAAAATTTATTACCGTTCAAAGCTATGTATTTGGACAAAAGGATTATTTTACCTTAGTTCCTACCTAGATGACAAATTATGCTATTTACAATATTCACTATAAAGTGATGAAATGACTTTATTTTTTAGTTTATAATAATCAAAGCGAAAAATATCTTACCAGTATATATTCCTCGTTTTGAGAAATTTTCTTTTTATTTATTAGTTTTGCATGTTCCAGTTTCATTAGATGCGTTTACAAGAGGCATAAGAAGATGATCACCCCACTAAGGGTTAACTTCAAATGAATCATTGCTATCACCATTTATGACACTTACGACTAACAAATACAAGTAGTAGAATTCTTGATTCAACCTATATAGCCATTAGGAGTGTTCATCAACCGATCCAAACCGATTCATACCGCGGTGACCGAATCGAAAAATCGAAAACCGAATAAATCGAAAACTGAAAAACCGAAAACAAAAAAAAAAAACTCCAAATTTTAATTGGATTGGATCGGTTTTTGGATGGGTTAATGAAAACCGATCCAATATATTAATTCCACTCTACCTACTTGGATCTTTCCCTAATCATAGCTTAAAAATTTTAAACCCAAGACCCATTAACCCATCAATTAAACCCAAGAAAAAATCTAGTCACATCTCATCAACAAATTTTTATCTTTGTAGAGCTTCATATCTCATTGCCCAAAAAAAAAAATTATATTATAGTTTACTAATACTTTTGTATTTAAAAAAAAAAATTTACAAAGCCAATATATACAAAAGATGTTATTTGCACAATAATCATGAAATAAATTTTAGGATTTTCAAAACACAGAAAACCGATCCAATCCAAATCGAAAAAAATTAGATTGGATCAAACCAGATTTGAAAAAAAAATCCAAACCGAATGGATAATTATATGATCAGACCCAAGAGATTGGATCGGATGATTTTTGCTTCAAAAACTGATCCAATTCAGACCGCGAACACCTCTAATAGAGCCATGCTTGGGGCAAATGCACCATATAAACATGATGGGTTTTATAAAACCCAAACATTATTGACCGCAAGGCCTTGTATACATTAGAAAATTTGCATTTTCAGAGATCTTTTCCATTAGACAAATATTTTGCCTTGCAACCAGTCGCCCAAAGGACAATCACTTTTCAAATGATATACGGAGGTTATTATTTGTTCAGCCTTCTCACTATAATACTTCCTGGAACGAGCTTAGTGCCTCAATTTCATGAATCTAATTTCAATTTTGATATCACTATAATAGCCACAAGGGGTAATACTATATCATATTGTTATAAGACAAAATTGAACTTGAACAAGGTCTAGGCTGTTTATAAACTTTAATGGATACATTGGTTTTGAGGGTTGAACCCCACCAAATTTGAAAAGAAGTCTCACGTCCAAGCTCGATTCATAATAAAATTGGAAGAGAAATCCAACAACATAGATTGCAACAGCTATTTCAATTTTTTTTCTCCCTTAAAAAAAATGCTTTGACTACATTCCATTGAGAAAAATGAAGAGATAGAGACCTTTATTTTCTCCAATTTCCACTGCATTTGCAGTTGCAACCAGTCCCTATAGAAAATCATCCAGGTTATTGATTGAGCTCAGGATGCTCTAAACGTTTGACGATCTTTTTAGTCTGTCATGAGGAAAAAGATACAAGTGAGCAAGCAAACATAAGTTTAACAGTTAAAAGTTAAATGGGTTATTGGGAGTGCATGCAAGAACAGAAACAATCAATACCACTGCTTGATATTATCTAAATGCATGTTCTGGTAAGGTTTTTATCTCAATTGATGGTGTTAAGAGGTTAGTAAATGCTACTCAACCAGCTTTCTCCAATACGATTATTAATATCTTAGCATGTTCAGGGGCGAATGTAACTAATCTGGTATAATGTTTAATGTAGCAGGTCAGTCTTTTAAAATATATATAATTTACCCCCTCACAAAAATTCCTTTTCTTTTAATTTAGAAGTTTAAAATATATATAATTTCGCCCCTTTTACAAAAATTCCTAGATCCGCCACTGAGCATGTTGATATTGAATACAGATATACTGCTTTTGCAAATATGAGGTTTTCTCATCTCTACCAAAACAAACATGTAGGCTATAAAAATAAATTAAGAATCCATAACAGAGGTCTGCCACAGAAAAGAAAGAATTAAAGAAATGTACCACAGAGACAGAGTATTCAACTTGTACCTGTTCTAGAGTTAGAAACATGATAACGTTCCAAGATCCAAGCCGTCCAAAATTTGGAAGGAACCCCTTGTAAAAGGCGGAGGGTCCCTAAAAAACATCAGAGTACATAACCAATCAGTTTTAATAAAGGATAACCATCATCAATGTACCTCCATGTTTGACTAAATCCTCCCCCACAAAATAAATAAAAAAATAAAGGGAAAAGGGAAAATTATGTTACACTAAAATGAAGCAAATCAATTTGGTTTAAGTACCATATATGATCAAATGCTGTGAAGAATTTTATTCACCCATCTCAACAACTAAGGATGCGCATAAAGTTAATGGTTGGAACAAAAGCAAAATGGGGGTAGATGTTTTCGAGAAAGCAGAATAGTTACAGTGGAAAGCAACATACATCGTTCTTTAATGTTTTGACAAAACAATCAAGGGTGCTTTTGTAACTAGGATCTCCCATCATTCTTGACTTAACCTGCATATACACCAGAAGGAAGATAGAACAACAGAATTAGTGGAATGGTAAGACTGCACAAGCAAGAAGCTCACTTGATCACTTCACAACCAAATAAAAAATGAAGTCAAAACTAAGTTCTTATTCATATCCACGGAAACACCCCAATGGACCTTAAAATGATCATCTATCAACTTCAAATTCTTAATAGGCTTTAAAATTTTACTCATTCTACAATGTCCTACTCATCCTAGGATTCTTAGTTTATCATGGTTGAACAGGGAAAATAGATGCAAAATTCATATCAAATTGTAAAACAATTATTAAACCATTACATATGAAATGCCGTGGGAATAAAATTCGAATAGCCATATCAACTATGGAATATGGATATTCATTAGTAAATACTGAAAAATTACCACATCAACTGGGGAGCCAATACAGACAGCAAAAAACCCTGCCCCAAGACCAGCAAGGAGATGAGTTACAACATTGTCAGTGAAGCCTGGAATTTTCAAAATAGTCTGCATAAAAAGAAAATAGTTAGTTATTTAAAACTATGAAGTGGAAGAACATGAAAAGAGTGCCCCGCAAGCCTCCAGTAAGTTTTAAATTACCTCTTTCACTTGATCATAGCTGGCTAGTTCAGCAGCATTGATGATGCCATTTCTTGCTATGTTGGGGCCAAGCCCAGTCCAAAGAGCCCCAACTCCTTCCTATGTGTTAGATCAGGTTTAAACAAAAATAAGTACAAACTAAACTATACCAAATACATCTTTCTCTTCCACAAATCATATTGGGTTAAATGCACAGACCTGTCTCACAATTGTTGAATAAGCATTTACAGATCCAGAGTAGCGCCTGGGAACACCAGGAGGTAATTTTCCTTCTGCTTGAAGTCTAACTTTGACAAGATCGGTTGGATTTGCCACTGTAATTGCCACAGCACCTGTTGAAAAGACAAAATTGAAGGGGCTCATGATTGGAGTTATTTGCAATGAGTATCTTGATAGGAATAACACAAGTTCCTACTAGGAAAAAGTAAATAATCCACACATAAGGAAAGAAATTCATATAATAGCACATAGACAAATCATTCCCAGTTCCCATAACTTCCAGTATTGGGCTTTACCAGTTGTAAATGCAGCAAGAATTTTCTTTGACAATGGAACATCTCCAACATGGTCCTTTCCCGTATAAAAAGTCTTAACCTGTTAAAAAACCCATTTTATTTACAGCATCAGATAACATAAGCAAACAGTATATATGAACTAAAATGAACAGGTTCCAGCAGCAGGATTCAAAACTCACAGGATCATATAACCCAATTCTTAAGCCTCCATACAAACATTGACGATGTAGCCCTGGCACAATACCCTTCCAAAGTGAGGAAAGACCTTCTTCCCTGGCAATGGTTGCAACTGTTCCCAGCATACCCTTATACTTAGGTAAGGAGGCTAAATCACCAGCTACAGCTTGTTTTTGAAGCTGAAGCCTAACTTTGGCAGTGTCCAAAGGTATAGTGCACACCTATTTCAATTACAAGAACTTAATGACAAATTTGCGCAAGAACTTCAAGTATAGCTACAATTGAGTACTTACAAAAGCATTATGAGAACTAACAGATGAACAGTGAGAAACACAATTAGCAATCAGTAACAAATATATAACAAGCCAAATTCACTCTCCATCTATGAAGCACCGACACTTCAAAATCCCTGACATGTCGTGTCCGACACTTCCCGACACTCCGACACTTCCCGACACTCCAATACTCGTTGTAAAGACTCAAAAAAGGTTCAAATGTTACGTTGCGTTGCATTTTGAGTTCTAACTATTAGATTTGTTGAATTACGATTACTATTTTATTGAGTTTAATATAAACATTTGCGATATCTTATGTTTCTTTGTAAAATTGATGGGTATTATAAGTTTAGTTTTATCTTTTTGTTAAATTATTGAATATTAAATATAATATACACTACATAAATTAAAAATATTATATAATATCAAAACGTGTCCTAACGTGTCGAAATTTAACATTTTTTAGAATTAATGTATCGAAGTGTCATGTCGTGTCGTATCCCGTGTCGGTGTCGGTGAAGCAGAAGCAGGTTCACACAGGAGATAATTTGGAAGATATTCAATTTTTAAAATATGTAATTGTTTACTAGAAACAAAGTTCAAACACAGAACAGTTGGGCCTGCAAACTGTATTTGGATGATAGTAAATGAGGGGAATAGAAAGGGAACCGGGGGAAGAGGAACAAGTTCCTTGTTTTGGAGTTTAAAAATTGATTGGAAGGGAAATGAATTCAAGGGGAGGAATGGAGGAATCTCAAGCAAGGGTATTGATGTTCCATTCCATTCTCAAGTATTTTGTCCCAGCAATCTAATTCCAAGATGTACAAACCATCAAGGAGGGAACACTCATCCATTTTGATACTTGGAAAAATTATCAAATCAGAGCAGTCAAAATCCACTGTGACCACCATTGACTAATGAAGACTATTAACAGAAAGAGATAAACCCAAAGGTGAAGAATGGAATTCATGTCTTGTTCAGACACTGTGCTCTTAGTTTTATCAAGTAAAGATAGCTTATTTTACAATAAACTTTTACCAAAAATAATAGCACATAAATCTAAAAAGACATTTTGAGATGGGTTAGACGCGTGACTTTACGCGCGCGAAATTTTCTTGTCTGCTAGGGTTTTTTCCTTCTGTTTTGCTGAATTGTTCCAATGGGAGAGATGAGGGATGGTGTGAATGAATCTCTGATGATGATGAGAAAGAGCACGAAGAGATTGAAGAGTGGTGAAGTTATTCCAACGGAGGTGGTGATGCGTGAAGCGATCAAGGAATTTCAGGCTGGGTCTTCCGTGCATGAAAAGCCGAGGTCCTTTGTAGAGGTGACTGGTGTTGAGAACGGTGTGTCAGGCGACAGCGTTCCATGGCTGATTGTATTAGAGTAGATAAGGGTGTACAGCTGTATAGCTGTACACAAAGGTCATTATTGTAATTAGCAACTTGATGACGTGGCAATAGTTGTAACTGATTATAGTTGTAACTGAACTTGATGACGTGGCAATAGTTGTAACTGATTATAGTTGTAACTGAACTTGATGACGTGGCAATAGTTGCTGTGTCTATATAGTCTATCGTGTAACACCTATTCATTTTTAAGAAATACGATTCATTCTCTCTCCCTGTTTACTTTCCCTTCTTCTCTTCTCTCTCTCTCTGATTTCTTTGATGGTATCAGAGCCCTCTCTCTGAGGGCCTGATACAGATCGATCCACTGAGATGTCTTCCGCTTCGCAACCACCGTCTCCGTCGTCTTTAGCTACCGGAGCAACCACCGGAAGTGGAGCGACAGAGACTCGTTCGTCTTCTACGTCACTGTTTACTCATCAGATCTCCGTCAAGTTGACCGAAAGTAACTTCCTCATCTGGAATCAGGTTGTAGAACCTGTAATAACTTCTCATCAACTTCATCACTATCTTGTTAATCCGAAGATACCGCTCCAGTTCGAGTCTGAGCAAGCTCGTGTTGATGGATCTGTTAATCCATTGTACACTGACTGGTTACGACAAGATCAGATGCTCCTGTCATGGATTCTCTCCACTGTTTCTGAAGAAATTCTGAATGAGATACTCGGTGTTAGTCATGCGTATGAGGCCTGGGAGCAGATACACAAGTTTTTTCAAGGTATGATGAGATCCAAAGCTCATCAACTCAGATCTGAACTTCGCACCATCAAGAAAGGTGGCAGATCTGTTGCTGAATATCTCAAAAGAGTGAAATCTCTTTGTGATGAATTGAAAGCTATCAAAAGCCCTATCTCAGTTGAGGAACAAACTGAACTGATCTTAGCTGGTCTTCCTCCTGAGTTTAACTCTTTTGTTACTTCTGTAAGAGCTCGTGAGAATCCTTATTCTCTCACTGACCTACGAGTTGAGTTGATGTCGTATGAGATGATGCTTGCAAGGCAAAATGAGACTTTACTTTCAGATTCCATGACTGTGAATGTAGTTCAAAAGCTACCTACTGATCCAAAGGAATCTTCAAGATCTGAATCACCAGCTATGAGACCTCCACTTGAGCCTATGCACACTGTTCAGAATCAACGATCCTATAATTCCAGTTATGAAAGAGGTAGAGGAAGATTCTATGGTAGAAGCAATAGAGGAGGCAATAGAGGAGGCAGAGGTAGAGGCCGCAATAATATTCAATGTCAGCTATGCTACAAATTCGGACATGGAGTTCAAAGTTGCTGGTATAGGTTTGATGAAAACTTTGTGCCTGAATTCACCTCACATGATTCTCCTCAATTCCTTCCATCATCTCAGCACTCATATCAAAGGTCTTTCCAGTATAATAGACCACCTAACACTAGTCAGCCTCAAGCACTACTGACTACAAATCAACCTCCTCATACAACTTCACATGTCACTCCACAACATTGCAATGTCACTCTACAGTCTCAAGGACAAGGTCTCTTACCTACTCCCACAAATGTACAGACCATAGAATGGTATCCAGATTCTGGTGCCTCTCATCATGTCACTGCCAATTCTCAAAACTTGATACAAAGCACACAACTATCAGGTGCAGATCAGGTGTACATAGGAAACGGCCAAGGTTTGCAAGTGAATGCTATGGGTCATTCCTCTTTCTCTTCTCCACTCCAACCACACACCTTCCTTCACTTAAACAACTTGCTTCTTGTTCCCTCTATAACTAAAAATCTCATCAGTGTGAGTCAGTTTGCTAGGGATAACAATGTGTTTTTTGAATTTCACCCTTTCACTTGCTGTGTAAAATCTCAGGTATCTCATGAGGTGTTGCTGGAAGGTGCTTTGGGAACTGATGGTCTGTACCGGTTTCAAGGAGTTAATCTTACCTCCGTCCCTAGTCTTCCATCAAGTCAACTGTGTGCTCCTGTTGCCCATCTCAACTCTGTCTCTAGTAGTTCAAAAATCTTGTCTACTACTTGTAATAATTCTGTTTGTAATAGTCCAGTATCCACTGATGTACTCACACAAAACACAACAAATAAAGATATTAGCTCTACAAATTCAGTAGGATCAAACTCTCTGTACTCTCTTTGGCATTGTAGGTTGGGACATCCTCGTACTGAGGCATTAAATTATGTCGTCAAATCGTGTAATATTCCAATTCCTATTAAATCAGACATTACCTATTGTTCTGCTTGTTGTTTGGGAAAAATCCATAGATTACATTCTGATCCATCCACCAAAATATATGAAAAACCTTTTGATCTTGTCTTTAGTGATTTATGGGGTCCAACACCTGTCAAATCTACAATGGGTTTTACCTATTACATATCTTTTGTTGATGCTCACTCTAGATATACTTGGGTTTATCCTCTTAAACAAAAATCAGAAGCATTGACTGTTTTTAATCAATTCCATGCTCTTGTATCCAATAACTTCCAATCAACCATTAAAGCTCTTCAAACTGATTGGGGTGGTGAGTTTAGACCGTTTCATCAACATCTTAAAAATTTGGGTATGTTCACAAAGTTGCATGTCCCCACACTCATCATCAGAATGGTGTTGTGGAAAGAAAACATCGTCATATAGTTGAGACTGGCCTTACCTTACTTGCTCATGCATCCTTACCCATAAAATTTTGGGATCGTGCCTTCATTTCGGCTGTTTATCTCATTAATTCTTTACCTACTGCTGCCCTGAATTTTGAGGTTCCATTCATAAAATTACACAAAATAGTACTTGACTATAAATCCCTTAGAGTCTTCGGGTGTGCTTGTTTTCCCTTCCTAAGACCATACAACAACCACAAGCTAGACTTTAGGAGCAGTGAATGTGTCTTCCTTGGTTACTCTCCCACACACAAAGGATATAAGTGCATGAACTCTTCTAGCCGGTTATTTGTTTCTAAGGATGTGCTCTTCAATGAGTCCAAATTTCCCTACCCACTTTGGTTTGATCCTTCTCCCATTGCTGCCTCCACACCTTCTCCCTCCCCTGTCCTCAACGTGATACCTCTAGTACAACCAAGTCAGGTTGATAATTCTGTGCAGCAGTGTTCTATCCCAAGCTCTCAAGCATCCAGCAGCAACACCTCCTCACCTGTGCAGCAGTGTTCACCTATTCCACGGTCTCCAGAGTCCAGCTGCAACACCTCCCCACCTACATGTACTTCAGACCCACCTGTCTCTTCTCCAGAAATGCAGCTTCTCAGTCATCCTTGCCTTTGCCCTCAAGTCCAGGTTTTTCTCCTATCTCCATCTCTCTTAGTCCTTCTTCTTCTTCTACTTCTGGGTCTGAATACGTCCCTTCTGGACCTCTCACCAATTCACCTACTCACTCTATTACTACCCGGTCTAAGACTGCTCACAACCCACAAGTTTTTTCCACTTCCCTTGAACCTGTTACAATCAAACAGGCCTTGGCTAATCCTAACTGGCTGTCTGCTATGCAATCTGAGATGAATGCCCTGCATGCTAATTCCACTTGGTCCTTGGTTCCTCTTCCTCCCAACCGCACAGCTATTGGTTGCAAATGGGTTTTCAGAGTCAAAGAAAACCCTGATGGCTCTCTAAACAGATATAAGGCTCGGTTGGTAGCAAAGGGTTTTCATCAGCAAGCTGGTTTTGATTACACAGAGACCTTCTCCCCTGTTATAAAGCCCATTACAATTCAGACCATTCTCACTGTTGCCATCTCCTTTGGCTGGACACTGAGACAACTTGATGTCAACAATGCCTTTCTCAATGGCACTCTTGAAGAGGTAGTCTACATGCAACAGCCACCTGGGTTTCAGTCTTCCAATAAATCACTCGTGTGCACACTTCACAAGGCCCTTTATGGGCTCAAACAGGCACCAAGAGCTTGGTTTGATAAGCTCAAAACCTCTCTGCTGCATCTTGGTTTTGTTGCCCGCAAATGTGATCCCTCCTTGTTTATTTACAGGAAGTCAGCTCATTGTGTTTTTCTCCTAGCTTATGTTGATGATATCATCATCACTGGTAGTGATTCAGCATTTATTCAATCCCTCATACACAAGCTGCATTCTGAGTTCGCCCTTAAGGATCTTGGGAATCTTGATTTCTTTCTTAGTATTGAGGTACAGAGAACTTCCTCTGGTAAATTACTTCTCACTCAGACTAAGTATATTAAAGATCTTCTTCATCGAGCTCAAATGGCGGAGGCTAAGGGAATTTTCACTCCTCTTCAATCTGGATGTAAGCTTTCTAAATATGGGTCTAACTACTACTCTGATCCTTCCTTCTATCGTTCCATTGTTGGGGCTCTCCAGTATGCTACACTCACTAGGCCTGAAATCAGCTACTCAGCCAACAAAGCATGTCAGTTTATGGCTCAACCTCTTGAAGACCATTGGGCTGCTGTCAAAAGAATTCTACGTTACTTAAATGGCACTTTACATCATGGTATGCTGTTGCAGCCATGCAATCCCAGTCACTTGTTCTCCATCACTGCTTTTTGTGATGCAGATTGGGCCAGTGACCCTGATGACAGGAGGTCTACTTCAGGTGCATGTGTTTTCTTTGGTTCTAACTTGGTATCCTGGTGGTCCAAGAAGCAAAATCTGGTTGCTCGCTCAAGCACCGAAGCTGAATATCGCAGCCTTGCTCTAGCTACAGCAGAGGTTTTATGGCTCAAGTCTCTTCTCACTGAACTTCACGTTCCATTTACTACTCCTCTCATCCTTTGTGATAACCTGAGTACTGTCTCTCTCTCCCATAATCCTGTTCTGCATGCACGGACAAAGCATATGGAATTGGACATCTTTTTTGTTAGAGAACGTGTTCTTTCCAAAGATATCAAGGTCTATCACATTCCAGCTTTGGATCAAGTTGCTGATACTCTCACCAAGAGTCTTTCTGCCACACGGTTTGCTGTTTTGAGGGACAAACTCATGGTGGTTGATTCTTCTTCCTATCTTCATCCACCCTGAGTTTGAGGGGGCCTATTAGAGTAGATAAGGGTGTACAGCTGTATAGCTGTACACAAAGGTCATTATTGTAATTAGCAACTTGATGACGTGGCAATAGTTGTAACTGATTATAGTTGTAACTGAACTTGATGACGTGGCAATAGTTGCTGTGTCTATATAGTCTATCGTGTAACACCTATTCATTTTTAAGAAATACGATTCATTCTCTCTCCCTGTTTACTTTCCCTTCTTCTCGTCTCTCTCTCTGATTTCTTTGAGATTGAGGAGGAAGAACCCGATCTGGAACCCCTAGATCCTAATTTGGGGGAGATTTCAGAATGGGGTTTTCAGACCATTGTTCGCGAAGATGGTTATGTTGAAATAAGGAGTAACATGGAAGCGAGAGCTAGAATGCGCCAGAGGCGGAAGAATGCTTTGATTGTGAAGCTATTGGGTAGGAAAATAGGTGTTGGGTTTATGAAGAAGAAGCTGGAGGCGATGTGGGCGAAGGCTGGCAGCATCACCGTTGCTGATCTGGGCAACGAGTTTTTCTCGGTACGTTTTAGCAGTCTGGAGGATATGAATCTTGCCATAACAGGTGGCCCGTGGGTTATCTTAGGACATTATCTGGCCACAAGGAAGTGGTAACCATATTTCGACCCTGATAAAGCTAATATTCATAAGGTTGCAGCATGGATTCGTCTCCCAGGTATCCCACAGGAGTATTGTGAATTCCCTTTTTAAATCATTTAGGATCGGTGATTGGGAAAGTTATTAAAGTTGATTGAACTACTTCCACTGGAGACAGGGCCAGATTTGCCAGAGTTTGTATAGAAATTGACCTGTCTAAGCCATTGAGGGGTGAATATGTGCTGGATGGTTGTAGGAAAAGGGTGGAGTATGAAGGTCTCTTCTTAATTTGTCTTAGGTGTGGAAGGTATGGGCATACTCTTGCCCAGATTATGCCAAACCAACCCATGTGCATCAACCGGATGAGGCTCCTGTACAGCCAGCGGAGGATCCTGGCATTCCAGGATTAGGGCCATGGATGGTGGTAAATCGCAGGAAGAAAAATCAGTAGCCCCTACAGAAGCAAGGTTCTGGAAATAGTAGAGCATTTGGTGAGGATATTTCCAACAGGAAAAATTTGGTGGATTCAAAGAATGGTGGTGTCAAGGAAAGGAATATCCCAAGAGGGATTAATACAAAGCAAACCGTGATTGACTCAGCTAGTCCTTTGGTTAATAAGGGGAATTTCTCTCTGAGCAGCAAACAGGATTCTCCAGTGCTTGGAATGATGTTCACAGCTGTGGCTCCTAATGCTGGTAGAAGAAGTGGTGGAAATAAAGCAGTGGGAATGAGTTCCAAGAAGTATGTGATTAAGACTTCTTCGGGTAAAGGCAAAGGAGCTGCTCCAGTAGCTCCTAGGAATTCTGAAGTACTTTTTTCACCCTTTCAGAAGAAGGATGGCTTGGAGGTAGAAATTAGCAAGACTGGGGAATCTATTATGGAACAGGATAGCTATACTCACATTGTAAACACCTCCTCTGTTGATGATGTGACTGCTGCTGGCTCGAGAATAGAAGCTATGCAGTCTGATCAAATCATGGGAGAGTCTACAAAGGTGGGAGTTGCTAATCCAGGTATGGAAGTAGATCTAGCTCTTAAAAATGATTTAGTCATTGGTATGAATATTAAAAATGAACATGTTTGTGTGGATGGACTTCCTGGAAGTCAGAATCGAGGGGTTGTATGTCATGATGAAAGCAGCAAGAGCTTTGTGATCTTGCAAAAAAATCATAACTCATCATGAATGTTCTCACGTGGAACTGTAGAGGTGCTGTAAAGAAACAGTTCAGGAGCACCTTTAGTAGGTTTAGGAGAAAATATAAAGTTGGTGTGGCTGCTATTCTGGAGCCTAGGGTGAGTGGGAAAAAGGCTGCTAGTATTATTAGAAGTTTGGGGTTTTCCAATCATATTATTGTTGAGGCTCAAGGCTTTTCTGGAGGCATTTGGCTTATGTGGAATGCTAATGATGTTAAAATCTCTTTTATTTCAAAGAATGATCAGATGATTCATTGTTGGGTGGAGTTTGATGGTATGAAGGGCTTCTTTTTTACGGCTGTCTATGCTAGCCCGCATGAGGGGAATCGTAGGATTTTGTGGGAAGAGCTGCAGCCAATGTTGTTGAAACGTAGAGTCTACGCCGAAACGGTAAGGGTGAGCAAAAACGTAAAAACATGAAACGTAAACAAAACGTAAGAGTTTACTACATACCCAAAAAAATAAAATATCCAACATATAATCAAAACACACCAATACATAAGTCCAAACACTAAGGAAATAAAAATTAATTTTGAACTTAGTCATCATAATACATACTAAAATCAAAATACTAAGGCAATAAAATTATTAAAGAGATCAACATCTCTAATCTAAGTCAGCAGAGTCTAAGTCAATATCATCTTCTTCGTCTTCTCCTCCACTAATAAATTCCGGAATTTCCAAATCATTCAAGTTCCCTTCTTCTTCATTTGGATCATCCAAGCCAAGGGGATCTTGATCTTCTTCAACATCTTCCAAAGTTTCTTCATATGTTGGTTCCACAATCCATTCATCATCCGACTCAATTTCATCAAAGTTATAATCAATTCGAGGAGATTCTCTATGTTTTTTCTTGCCTAATGTTGAGTTAGCCATCACAAAAACAACATTATTCATTGTCTCCTGCTTCAAACGATTTCTTTTCTTTGTGTGGACCTAAACAAATACAAGAAAATAATTAATACTAGACTAATATCATATTTTGAAATTAAATGCAATTCATATTAAAATTATACCATCTCAAAAGCACTCCAATTCCGCTCACACCCAGAGGAACTACATGTCAAGCTAAGTACACGGATAGCCAATTTTTGGAGCTCTGGAACACCATCACCATAAGATTCCCACCATGCTGCTGGACTCTTGGTTTCAACTCCATCCCTAGCAAAGGTAGACCCAAAAAGACCTCTACGATACTTGAATTCCTCAAGTTGTTCATCAATCTTTCTTTCTACAACTATATCTCCCACCATCCTTTTTATACAATCATATAGTCCAACCTTTACTTCATAATCAACTTTAAATGTAGGATAATAATGTTGTTTTGGGTTAAGGTAATAGCCTGCAGCATGCAAAGGCCTATGTAACTGCCTCTCCCATCTTGCATCAATGACATCCCAAATAGGTTGATAACTAAAAAAATGAAAAGATAACAAATTAATTAATTTTGAGTTAAAAATGTCTATAACTATGAATTAAACAAATTAATTGATAACTTACAATGAAGGTTTTTTTTTGAAATCCTCTTCAATTTTCTCCTTGGAACGATCCATTGCCTCATAAATGGAGCCCATGGCTGCATCATCTGAATCAACTAACCGAAGCACTTCAATCAAAGGAAGTGCCCCTATCAAACAAATCTCAACCCTTTTCCAAAAGTGTTTATCCATCACTGTATTTTCAATAAGTTTTCCATCTGTTGACTTTGCATATTTGCTATTCTTCCATTCATCTGACATGAACATTCTTTTTACAGGAAGTTTATGGTCATGGAGGCATTTCAAAGTCAAATAGGATGTGGCAAAGCGAGTCATGGCGGGTCTAATCAAATCTTTGCCACTGGTGAAGCTGTGCAATATTGAAATGAGAGATGTTCTTGAATAGATATAAGTTGTAATTTTTTTCCCCTTATAAATTGTGTCTTTATGAAGGGGTATTTTCTTCTCTAAATCTTCTAGCATTAAATCAATGCAGTGAGCAGCACAAGGTGTCCAATATATTTTCTTTCTTTTCTCCATCAACAAAGCCCCAACAACTTTATAATTTGCAGCGTTATCCGTCACAACTTGGACAACATTTTCTTCACCAATCTCTTGTACCACATCATCAATCATCTTAAAAATCTTGTCAGCTGTTTTGGTGATGTGAGAAGCTTCAATGGACTTAAGGAACACAATTCCCATAGAGCTATGCACACAAAAGTTGATTATTGTTCTTCTTCTTTTATCAGTCCATCCATCAGTCATTATTGTGCATCCAGTTTTCTTCCATAGAGCCCTATGTGAATCAACAACAACCATTGTCATATCATATTTTTGCTTCAAGTATTTCACTCTACACTCATGATAAGATTGTGGCTTGAAACCCGGTCCATGCTTAGCAATTGATTCACACATCTTTTTGAAATCATCGCTATTCACAAAATTGAAAGAAATTCCATTATTATACATAGCAGTACAAATGTCAAGACATGCCTCCTCCCTCAAGTTCTTCTTGAATATGGTATTGAGGGTAATAGGAGGAGATGTTCTGCTTTTCTTGAAAATATCGGAACCACCACTAACATCTTCCTCTTGTACTTCTTGCACATTGCACCCCAAATTTTTGTTCAATGATTTTCCTTGTTGTGCTCCTCCAATAAGAAGATTCAACATCTCAGTTTTTACTTCATCTGGCACCGCTATACATGGTTCAACATCTTTAGATGTTCCTGCCAAATGGTGCTTCACACGAAAAACTCCAGCAGACATTATTTTGGGACAATACTTGCATTTAAGCTTTTTTGTTCCTGGAACTTCAATTGAATGCTTCCATCCAGGATCTAACTTATTTCCAGGAGCATTTCTAGACAATTTCCTCCCTCCAATAGTAGTGTTACTTACACTAATAGAAGCCGAATTGCTACTACTACCACCAGCACTTGATGAAGCCATATGATTTCAAACTATATTTAATCACAATTCAGAGAAAATATCTCAGTTCTAAGCTTTCAAATTTCAATCAAAAAATAAAAGATAATAAAATGAAAAAAAAGAATCCATAGATAGAGCCTTATTATGTGCATAATAAACGCAGAACTACATATAAAATTCAGAGAAATATATAATTATTTTTTTATATTTTTTCCTATAAAATAAAAATGGCCAACACGTTAATATCATTCAACATCAGAATAGGAAATAAACAGATCAAAAAAGATGAGTGGTTGTTCAACATCATTCAACATCCAACACGTTAATATCAAGAAATGGTCCAAAAAAAAATAGGAGAGAAACAGATCAGAAAAGGTGAGTCACGGCTTGGCTTTGTTCAACATCATTCAACATCCAACACGTTAATATCAAGAAGAAATGGTCCAAAAAAAAAATAGGAGAGAATGAAACAGATCAGAAAAGGTGAGTGGTGGCTTGGCTTTGTTCAACATCATTCAACATCCAACACGTTATATCAAGAAGAAATGGTCCAAAAAAAAAAATAGGAGAGAAATAGATCAGAGTACGAAAGAGAAGAATAGGAAAAAAAAAAAAAAAAAATTACCGTCCCAAGTGCGAAGCCCAAAAAAACGAGATAGAAGACCACCACCGTCCACCGTCCGCCGTCCGCCGTCCACCGCTTGCGACTAGGAGAGAGTAGAAGACTAGAAGTAGACAGCCGAGATCCAAAGACCAACGAAGATACAAAACTGGTGTAAATAGAATTTGGGTATTCGGGTATTAAACAAAAAAAAGACCACCGCTGTTTGCTTTTTTAAAACAAAAAAAATTATTATTTTATTTTATAGACCCAAAATGCACTTAGTCCGGCCCGAAATTTTTTTCTTTTTTTTTAAAAAACTGAGTCAACTCGGTAAACTCGCCGAGTTAACCGAGTTGACTCGCCGTTTCAACCCATTTTACGTTTCAGCAACCGTTTTAACACGTTTTTTAGGCAAAAAACGTAGAATCGTACGTTTCGACACTACGTTTTAACAACACTGGCTGCAGCATCTTGGAGGACTATGGATGAGCCTTGGTTAATATCAGGTGACTTTAATGAGATCACTTGTGCTGAGGAGAAGAGAGGAGGGGGCCCAGTTGACTATAGGAGATGTAATCAGTTTTTAGATATTTTAAATGCTTGTGGTGTATTTGATTTGGGAGGAGGTGGTAATAGGTTTACTTGGAGGGGGCCAAAATTCATGCATTTGAACAGGGTCTTTACGAGACTTGATAGAGCTGTTGCCAATGAAACTTGGAGAGCTAGTTTTGAGGGTGCTGATATCCTAACTCTTCCAAGGCTGTTCTCTGACCACTGAGTGGAGAGAGAGGCCTTTCCGTTTTCTTGCAACTTGGCAGCAAGATTCTAGATTTGGTAACTTCATGAAAGCTAATTGGAATCAAACTGCCAATATTTCAGATAGCTTGAGAGCCTTCACTCCAACTCTGAAAGACTGGAATAAGAATGTTTTTGGATTTGTTCAACACAAGAAAAATAGAATTATTGCTAGATTGGATGGCATTCAAAAACATAGCAGTAGCAACAATAGTAGGCAGCTTGAGCAGCTGGAGGCTAAGCTGAAGGATGAGCTCTCGGTTATTCTTGACCAGGAGGAACAACTGTGGTATCAAAAATCTAGGGGAGAATGGATAAAGGATGGGGATAGAAATACTAGGTTCTATCATACTAGTACCTTGATCTGAAGGAAGAAGAATAAAATTATTAAGCTGCAAGATGAAGCTGGTCATTGGGTTCGTGGGGAAGAGGAACTGATTTCTTTAGCAAGGAATTTCTTTCAGAGACTCTTCAAGGAAGAAAATGTTGAACCTGTCTGGTTGCAAACTGGTAATAATTGGCCAGAAATAAAGGATGATCAGTTGGCTCTGCTATCCTTAAATGTTGATATGGAGGAGGTGAAAAAAACTTTCTTCCAAATGGCTCCTTTGAAGGCTCCAGGCCCAGATGGATACCCTGCCTTGTTTCCCCAAAGGAATTGGGAATTGCTGAAAACTCAAATTTTAAGGAGTATTCAGAAGTATCTTGGTCAACCGAATCTGATTGAGGAGATAAATCATACCCTTTTAGCTCTCATTCCCAAAATTGAGAGGCCCTGTTTAATGAAGCAATTTAGACCTATTGCCCTTTGTAACTCTATCCACAAGGGCCTTAGCAAGATTCTTGCTAATAAAATTAAACCTCTTTTGGGAAATCTCATTTCTCCCAATCAGGTTCGTTTTTTACCTAGAAGGCAGATCCAAGATAACATAATCATTGCTCAGGAGATGGTTCATGCTATGCATAGAATGAAGGGTAGGAAGAGTTTCTTATCAATTAAAATTGACTTGGAGAAAGCCTATGATAAGCTTAGTTGGAGGTTCATCAGATCAGTCTTGGAGGAAGTGAAGCTACCAGGGGATTTGATTGAAGCTATCTTGGGATGTGTGACTAGTCCTTCCTTGGAGGTGTTGTGGAATGGTGCTAGGACTTCTGGATTTAGTATTCAACGTGGGATTAGGCAAGGGGATCCTATATCCCCTTATCTTTTTGTCCTATGTATGGAGAAATTAACTCATCTAATTATGGATGAGGTGGAAGTTGGAAGATGGAGGCCAATGAGGGCTGGTAGGTCTGGACCAGCAATATCTCACTTGATGTTTGCAGATGATGTCATTTTATTTGCTGAAGCTTCTATGTCTCAACTGGAATCAATCACCAATTGCTTGGAAAAATTCTCAGTAATGTCAGGACAGAGTGTTAGTGTAGAGAAGTCCTGCATATACTTCTCTAAGAATGTACCTCATGAGATTATGAGTTCTGTTACTGCTGTTAGTGGTTTTAAAAAAGTCAGCAAGCTTGGATGCTATTTGGGATCCTTGATGAGACATGGAAGAGTCAAAAGGGACCATTATGCTGATGCTATAGCAAGAGTTCAAGGCAGATTGCAAGGGTGGAAATCAAAGTGCCTTTCCTTGGCAGGTAGGATTACTTTAGCCAAGAGTATTATTTCTGCCATTCCCTCTTTCCATATGCAAAACAGTATGCTGCCAGTGCATGTGTGTCAGGAAATTGAGAGACTACAGAGGAATTTCATCTAGGGGGACTCTGAAGGTAAAAGAAGAGCTCACTATGTTTCTTGGGAGCAGATGTGCCTTTCTAAGGAGTGTGGTGGGTTAGGCATTATAAATCTGAGATGGCAGAATTCAGCTTTTATGCAGAAATTAGCCTGGAAGGTCATGAATGATCATAGCAGTCTATGGGTTCAGGTTATGCTAGGCAAGTATGGTAGGAAATTAAAGCCTAACCGAAGTGTAATCTCGAAAGCTACTGATTCTCCTCTGTGGAAGAATATTTGCATAGCTAGAGAGAGTCTGATCCAACATCTCGAGTGGGTGGTTGGAAATGGAAGGGAGATATGTTTTTGGACTGATGTGTGGGGAGGTTGGAACATGAGTGTTTATGACCTTGCTGTGTGTAAGCCTCTTGACTCACAGATTCATTTGAAATTTTTTGATTATGTTGATCCAGATACAGGGGATTGGAAATGGAGCTGTCTTCAGCAGTGGTTAGATTTTGATACCATAAATAAACTTAAAGGTATTAGACCTCCTGTCAATGATGACCCAGATGACTATTTGAATTGGAAGTGGAGTAGCCCAAGCAAGTCCTTTGTGAGGAATGCCTACTGTCGTTTATCCGAACCTTCTGTTGGAAAGGATAAAATTTGGACTGCTATTTGGAGATGGAGAGGCCCTTATAGGATAGCAATCTTCATTTGGCTTGCATGCTTAGAGAAAATTCCTGTGAGGTCTTTGACAGGTCAGTGGAATGGAGGGGAAGTTGGATGTCCCATTTGCTATGAAGGCCAAGAAACAGTATTGCATGTGTTGAGAGATTGTAGGGTGGCTAGACAAATTTGGGAAAGATGGTTCTCTGGTAATGTTCCAATTAACTTTGTATCTTCTACAGGAATAGACTGGTTTAAACTAAACCTATTTCAGCATTTTTCCAGTCAGCTTTGGCAATCCTGGAAGGAGATCTTTTTTGTTACATGTTGGTTTCTTTGGCAGTAGAGAAATTCTAGTTTCCATGAAGAGGTTTTCTTATTTCCCCAAGACCCTGTCCATACAATCATAGCCTACTTATCTGATATGAAGAGAACCAGTAGCCCTATAGATGTTAATATTAGTGGGACTGGTTCTGAAGCCCCTTGGTCTGTTTCTGATGTTAGTATTTTTTCTGGAAATATAGGACAGCCTAATTCTCAATGTCAGGCTAGAATTTTTGTTGATGGTGCATGCAACTTAGCTTCGAGTAAAGGAGCTACTGGGGGTTTGATTTGTTCCCCTAGTGGAGAGTGGAAAGGTGGATTCTCATATAATATAGGTAAGTGCTCTGCATTGGAAGCTGAATTATGGGGCCTATACTATGGCATTAAGATGGCTGGGGATTTGAAATACACTAAGATTTGGATAGGTTGTGATAGCAAAGAGGCTATTCTTTGCGTGGAAAATGAGGCTATTTCTTGCGGGTTTTCATCTCTGATTCACAAGATCTGTCTAGCTGCTCAAGATTTTGAAGATTTGCATCTAGAGTTTATCCCTAGAGAGTCCAATATTTGTGCAGATTTTTTAGCTAAGAATGGTTTTAGTCTCAAGGGTGAAGAGCTGATGTTTTATACCTCTCCCCCTGTTAGTAGTTTGCCTTTTTGGTTGAGTTTGAGTTCCAACTTGTTGTTGGAGCAGTTGAGTTTGTACCTGAGTAGTCTGTCTGTTTAGTTTTCTGGGCTTGGCCCTCCACTTTTATCAAAAAAAAAAAAATCTAAAAAGACACAGATAAAACAAAACAATACAGCAAATTGAAACATCCCTTAATATCTGACAACGACTAGGACTGGCAGGCACAAATCAACTCAACCCACTTGAAAATTATATATATATATATATGGGAAAAAGATTTCTCATGTTGTATGAGAAATCTCCTCTCCTACCACTCTCACTTCGATGTCCGTGCCAATCACTTTTCTATTTTTTATTTTTTTCTTTAAGGTAGGCCCCCACCCCTTTCTCTCTCTCTTAAAGAAAACTTGCATTTCTCATGCAACATGAGAAATTGCAAGCCCTATATATATATCACTAAACACAGTTATCAACACCCCTCACATTCAACTGAACTCTCAGTCCACAAAAACACTCACTTGATCCTCCAATTTTCTGTTCTACCATCATGCATGGTTTGTTACACAAGCACTCAGAACTAATAAAATCTACCACAAAGTGACAGTGAAAATCAGATCCATCACTACTACAACTACCCAAAAGCAATATAAATGATGGGTCTTAAACATGATCATCAGATTACCCATAAAAGAGAATCCCCAAGAAAAAAAAAAACCCAGATAGCAATATGTGAATGAATTGGCAGAGACATGAAAAAAGAAGTGGAATACCTCAGCAAAACATGCAGAGAAAGCACTGCTGGCAAAAATTCCAGCGAAGGAGATGTCGGATTTGGACTTGGAATCAGCCACCATGGTACAAATTCAGAGGAACAACAACAACAAAAAGAAAAAGGGACCGAAGGTTGCGTTCGCAAATTTAGGGTGTGACCCTTTTCCTTCGACCCCTTTTTGAAAGCCTCAAACTCAGGTGCGTTTTCCGGAAACTTTTTTCTGAATACTCATTTACCGTTTTTGAGGAAAGTTTCCTAAGCTGGCACTCTCCAACTTAGGAAAATACACGATATATATATACGTGTCTGTGTTTTATTTTATTTTTTATTTTTTATTTTTCTTATATCTCTCGTGTGTCTGTCACACACTATACGACTTAATAGAAGCAGAGCTGTATTAAATTTTTTGCTTAAATTAGCTATAACAATGAGAATTGTGTAAATATAAGTGATGATTAGTGTAAATACGTGTGAGATTACTTTTTCAATTAAATGATTAGTGTTATGTATATGACAAAAACCCATATTTTAGAAGATTCAAAAAGGATTAATTGTTAATAGGGAATTAATGAAATGTTCTTTAATTATTCTAATCCTATTATGACAGCAATAGATCAATAATTGGACTCCCAATACTCCTAAGAGGCTCTAAAATCCACTCCTACCAAGTAACTCACATATAAATAAGGGGTTAAACTAATAAGGTATACATACTCTGAATTCTCTCTCTTAGTTTGTCTCTGTGCACATACCCTACATCTTGACTATGTCGTTTGTATTATTGTGTACAGTCATCTGATCTCTAAGATACCTCCTTCATAGATACCAGAAAGAGGACAAATATAATATATATTAACATACTAATCTCTGGTTGAACATCTTCACCTATCATATCATAACAATTAGTTTGACAGGAGTAGAGTTTGTATCTAGAATGATCTATTAGGCATGTCTATGAAGAGTAAATATTTTAATTTGAAAATTACACTTACGCAAATTTTGCTTTTATATATATATATATATTGGATTTTTGACCATTTATATGCGTTTTTTCATAAAGTATACTGGATTAATACATCTGGAATAAGTATTAATATATTAATACAATCAATACCGTATTTTATTTTAACCATGCGGAACTACTCCCACACATGAAAAGTGCGAGACTTGCATGGCTGATTAGTATGATAATATTTATGACAGACGCATTAATCCAGTATATTTTATGGAAAAACACATCTAAATGGTCAAAAGCCATATATATTCATAATCATTCCATTGAATATTATTATATAATTTATATGATATTTTAAATTATTTTTCATTGTATCTTTAAATCTTAAGATTTCATATACTTCATAATTCATAACTTAATTTGAGAATTCACGATTTGAATTGCTATTTGATAATTTTGATCTCCACAAATACTTTTTACATATAAAAAAAATTGGGCTTTAACCCAAGTTACTTTAGAGCCTTTTCAATATCTCAATAGTCCATTGTTAAGGCGCAACCCACTTACCCATTGTGCCACTCAGAAATTTCAGAGAATGCATAAAAAATTGTTATATATGCACATATATCTTATGACAATTTCAGTAGCTAGTTTTTTAATTAATGGTAATAACTTCGTACTTTTCTTTTTAAAGTGTACGCTTCATTTTAGAGGAGTCGCATTTTAAATGCATAATAACTATGGGCGTTCATGAATTAAATTGGATTATATTCGAGGGAGAAAAAGCAATTCAATATAATTTTTTTTATAACATTATTAGTACATTTTGACTTAAAATATAATATAATATAAACGATTTATTAGATCAAATTTGATATTGTGTAGAAGAAAAGAAAGATGTGGTTTATGTCATGTAAACTATCATGTATAAATTAATTTACCACTTCACATATTATTTAGTCAAGTTAATTATCATTGTATGATGATATCATTGGTGATTTTCATTTTCTTTATTTGGTAATATATTCTTATAAAATTAATGGAGGTAATGAGTGACAAAACAATAATAAATATGTGAATAGCCAACTTTTTTTTTTTATATATACATGTAATGATCCTATTTGTTTTTAGTATATATTTGTATAATTATTTGACCAATTTAATTCGAGCATTCTTGAATCTATTTTAAAATTCTTCAATATCATTTTCTATCGGAATTCACGTATATTTACTTCTTTCTTTTAAGGTTAAAATAGTGGCAAAGTGTGCAACCACTCCGAGCCGAACAGTTATTAAAGCTCTTCCCAAATAGAAGACTTCAGGATTCGAACCTTTCCCACTTCATTGACAGGGATTCATCCTGGGGTCTATTGACCACTAGACCAACCGGAATTCACATATATTTGCTAACTACACGGTATATGATTTTTTTTGCATAAAGATCATCTTTTTCTGCTTTTGGAAAATAATGTTCTTTCTTTTGTAAGTACATGGATTTTCACAAACAATAGTAGGACTTGTTTCAATAGTTATTAGAGGTTCTTTTTAACACGTATAAAGGTGGTGTTGCAATGATTGAAGAAAACAAAACAAATTGAAAATAACTAACTACGCAATAGGCATGAAGCTCAAGTCCACATCAAAGGGTTTGTGAGGAATGTGTCTACTCCCACAATGCTGGGAATGAATGAAATAGGTGAGAAAAAAGAAAAGAAAAAAAAAACTTTTTCCAATTGAAATAACGTGGTTGCTGCAAGCTAGTCTTATGTAGAACTTGTTGATCCTCTCTCTTGTGGCAAATCACAGGCTTTGTTTTGATTGGTAATATTGTTAATTTTTCTACTCCAACTATACCTCTTCTTGGTTTCACTGTACAGGATAACTCCAATGACAGTGAGTGCATAGCCAAGCATTCCTATCACTGAAATAGGATTTTTGAATATCAAAATTGAGATCACCACAGCAACTGCCCCCTTTGCATTTCCTAAAACCTGTAATTTTGGACAAACTTCATTCAGATTCAACTTAGACCACAGATATCTCGCAGTTCATCTAATACGGCAAATCTAGAGTAATGGTAAAAATGCTTCTTTATGACCGAAAGATCACATGTTCGAATTTGATAAACAGTCTTTTTGTAAATATACAAGGTAAGACTACATACAAGACTTGCCCTCTCACCCCTACTCTCGCTAGTTGAGATTTAATGGGAGTGATTTATATTCAGTGGTTCATCTAAGTAACAAGAAAACTGGAAGTTTAAATTCTAGCTGCTCGTTCAAATACCAAGAAAACATCTACTATTCCCTGGATGGTAAAAACATCAATCAATGGAGCACCTTGAAAAGAATGCTCAACAAGTGCTTACTTCATTTAATTTTGCTCCCCTTAGAATTTACCATATGAAATGTGTTAAATTGAGTTTTTTAATCTGTCAAGTTGTTCCCATGGAGAATGTATATAAGATAAAAAATGGAGAAAGGATATTAGTAAAACATGAATTGGATCAATGGTATTAAGACATACCTGAAGGGTAAGAGCACTTGTATGTTTAGTCACCAAAAAATTGGTCAAGTTCACGAAATATGCAAGAGAAGAACTGAAAAGCAGATACCAGATAATACTGATATCCTTATTGGCAAGATCTATTGTAATCCAAATCACGTTTTCCTCCATCAACAATGTTGCAGGAAGTAAGACCAACATTGCTATAGGTGCCATATAAAGCAGCAGGTTCATAGAATTCAACTTTTCTCTGGAAACCATCGAAGTTATTTTATGTTGGTTTACAAAACAAAAGAAGTAAATGAAAGTAGCATTTCAACAATCTTTTGTTATGATAAGGACAAAACAGATAGGATCATTACCCTTCTGAGGACAACAAAATATCTTGAAGCACTGATTTAAATGCTCTGGCTGCAGTCGATGAAACACAGATTATAAATCCAAACATATGAAAACTTGGTTCACCCTGCAGCATAAATGTTACATGTGAGATAGGCGAAGAACAAATTGATTCTTGGAGAGAAAACAGAACAAGTAATGCTAGCAATTGTTTTGATGGTTTTAAAGAACATTAAAATAGTTAAGATCTAAAAATCAGAAGAAGAAAACAGGTGGCTTAAAGAAATTGAAGTGGGAAAGGAACAAATGTTATAAAGCCATGTTGTTCTTGTGCTAGTAATGAATCCAAGATATTAAGTTTGCATTTTCCTGAATCTTCACGAAGTGGTAACTCAAAATTTAACCCTCATTCAACTGAATTCTGGACTGAGGATGGGCCTTGGAGCAGTAGTAAGGTTGCTCTTTATGACCGGAAGGTTACCAGTTCGAGTATGGAAAACAATCTCTTTGTAAAAATACAAGGGTAAGACTGCATATGGTTGGTTGACCCTCACCCCTACCCTCGCGAGATGGGGAGCCTTGTGCACTGAATTCTGGACTAGATCTTTTCCAGCCAAACACACAATCTTAAGCTCTTAGTCTTAGCTATCTATCTTACCTAGTATTTTAACCTGAAGAAAGTTGAAGTCAGTCAGTCAGCTAGCCAGTTCATGTGTTTTGGTTTTTCATCTTTCCCTTTGTATGGCCATGTCTCGGGCTATCTCATTTGGTTACTCTGGTTATGCACGTAAATTCAAAGACAAAATAATCTAAATAAGCTCAGTTCTGACTAAGCCATGTATTGAAATAACTATATATATCTAAACTTTTTTTCAAAAGTAATCTAAAAAAGCTCAGTTCTGACTAAGCCATGTTTTTGTTTTCATAGCTGCTGTATGCAATTAGCTTAGCTACCTAAACATATAAACTTAAATTTATCTTCAACATTTCAATTTATTTCAGTAATTCACAATTAGGCAACATACTTTGTTGCCAATTTATGCAATGTTCGTTGACTTCCAAGATCAAGACTGAAGGAACCCATATGAAAAAAAAATGATAATATTGGCAAATATGCATAAATACCCAAGAGAGAAAACTCCACTTTTCTTGTTCCAATTTAAAATGATAGGATCAAAGAGAAAAAAGAAAATGGGTCCTTTTTCTCCCCTTCTGGGTTTGAAGTTTTCATCATCTAAAGCAATTCAAAATCAACAAAAAAAAAAGGAAAAAGATTGAAGATTGAAGATGGAAAATATTTACCCCACTAGCTACGATGACACCAGCAACAACAGGCAAAAGGGTGGCATAAGTAACCCAAGCCTCTCTTGTTCTGATCATAGCATAAGCAAAAACTGCAGTGAAGAAAGGGGTGGTGGCTCCAATTGCCTGGTTAAACGACACAGGAATGTACTTGAGTGACATGTTTCCACAAACGACAGAGAAACAGAAAACAAAGCTCAAACCACAGATTTTCCCAAACTGTTTCTTGGACTGCACACTCTGCAAAGGGACTATGTCCATCAAAGAAATGGCAACATAGCTGAAAATAGAACACATCATCATGTGACACATGGTGAGAAAAACAGGGTACTTGAACCCATAATTGCTGAGCAAGTACTTGTTCATAAGGAGCACACCAATGTTAGAACTATACCAAGAAATCACCACCCCAATGGTTGACCATGGGATCGGGTTCATCACCATCTATGTCTCAAAGGGTTTATGCAAAATGATTTTTTTTTTTTTTTTTTTTTTTTGGTTTTTTCTGCTGGGAATTCTTCAGTGAAAAACAAAGCTTTGTAACTAAGGAGGTAATATTGCAACGTTTTTGGTTAGAAGAGAGAGAATAGTGATTGTGGGAAGGTGCACCTTTCATCCCAAATGCATGCAGAGAAGTGACTCATAGCAACGGTGATTTGTGGGTCCCACACTCATTTTCAGAGCTTGGACACTGAAACTGAACTCACCATTTGGTTAAGGTACACGTTTTGCAAATGTTTAGGGGTGCATTCAATATTCATTCATTGATAACTTCAAAAATTTAGACATTTATGGGTTTAATATTTATTTATCTCGTACACACATAAAACACATAAAAGTAAATGAGCCATACGGACTATATAGACTCGTGTGAGAGAAGAAAAGATAAAGAAAAAATATAGATCCATATAATTTTTTTTTTTTTTTGAGCTATCCCATGTAATTTTATATGTGTATATAAAATAAATTTATTTCTTATAACATAAAATATTTGTTTGGTAACTATTTAAGTTTGTAAAAACTGGTTCTGGTGCCAGTTTCCCAAGTGGCTCGTTGGAGTGGAGTGTGAAACACATCTTATAAGTCCTCGGTTCCAAACCGGCAACGGAACTCAATTTAAAAACTGGTTCTGGTAAATATTAATTTAAAGTTTTTTTCTTTGAATAAATCTATGAGTGATTATTAAGTAAAATACAATTATAAATCTCATAATCAGTAAGCATTTAATTTTTTAATTTAAATAATTAAAAATTATGTAAGATAAAAGATTGTTTAATTTGCTTTTATAAACCACAGTTATTCTCCGTGAGAGTCAATCCTATTTGAGGCGAATTTAGAATTAAGGCTCTAAATCTCTTTCAAAAATGGCACTGGAGATTATCGAACATATTTTCTCCCCCTATTTGCTCAGCACTCATACGCTAACTAAACTATCATTATTTGATTGTTTAAAATAAATTTTAACTAAACTAAGTTAAGTTAAAACTTCTCACAAAACAAATTGAATTTATATAAGTAGTTGAGTTCGTTTTTTCTGCAATTACTGCATATAAGTTATCTGCAGTAAGCCTAATACGACGTCATTTTTGGACAGAAATCATGGTTTTTTTTGTAATTTTAATTTATTTCAGGGTTATTATAGTCTTTATAATATAATTTTCTAATCTTTCAATTCCAAAACGACGTCGTTTTGAAAATAAATGCAGATAACTTATCTGCATTAATTGCAGAAATATTTTTCTGTAAGTAGTTTATCTTAAATAATTTTAAACAACTTTTGAGAGTTGCCTTGCTGTTAAGGGTGTGTTTCAAAATGGCAATGCAATTGTTATGTTTTAGGGAAAAAGAATTATTTTTTAAATGATATAAGTTGTGTCATTTCATTCTCAGAAAGAAGTAAGACTCACACTTTTATTTATTTTTTTTATCCACACTCTCTCACACATGATCTATTTCTTTCTCTCACTTAAAATGACATAACTTTACATCATTTAAAATAACACACAATTTTGCCTATGCTTTATAGATAGAACCTTAAATATAGGGGTGTACAAAATAATCAAAAAACTGAACCGAACCGAACCGCTCCTTAAAATAATCGATTTTTAAAAACCAGTTCATGAACCGAATCGGTTTTTAAAGAACCTGCTCATGAACCGAACCAGTTTAAGAACCGAACCGATTTTTAGAAACAGATTAAGAACCGAACCATTTTGAACCGAATTGAACTGAACCGTTTTCAAACCGAACCAAATTGATTTGTATAACTTTATTTTTTAAATTTTTATTTTTTTTTCTTTTCAAAAGAGGGTCGACCCGAACCGGTTTCGAACCGTTTCCAACCGAAGCGAACCACTTCCGAACCGAACAATTTAAACCAATTCGGTTCGATTTTCAAAAAAACCGGTTCGGTTCGACCTATGCACATCCCTACTTAAATATAGGGTTTTTGTTGCATATATTAAAATATTAAAAGAGTAAACTATATTTTATTAAAATTAATATTTTTGTAATTATAATTATATGTTAACTTACTCAATTTTATTTTAATTTTGTACATATTTCGATTAGTGTTGAAGAAAGTACGTATATATATCTTTGCCAGAAATAAAATAAATTCGAAATCTTTTATTTTTTTCATGATTATAATATTATTGGAGAAATGGTTTGCCATGTTACATGACAAAAAATCAATTTTTCTACACACAATTCAAATTGGGCTCTATCTTTGATTTTTTTCTTATTCCACTTTTTAATGGATCCCACGTATAGTATGAGTATGTAGAAAAAAATAGTTTATTGTCATATAACATGATAAAAACAAAAGGTTATGTTTATCGCATTTTACATGATATAAACAACTTTCCTACACACTCAAAAAAGGATTGAATCCTACCACTTTTTTTTTTCTCTCTTCTTATCTATGAGTTTTATTTCTACAACATAAAAAAAATATTTCCCAAAAACAAAACCCCATATTATTTTACTTGGGTAACATGCAATGGCGGCAGATCTAGGAATTTCATGGTTTAATCTATTTATTGTAATGTAAGTTAATATACTTAAAGAGTAGCGTACACTATAAATAGCCTCTTCAAAAAGCACAGAAAACTTTGGCTAGCACCATAATTCCAATTAGAAACTGACATGTGCCGGCCTTTAAGCTAATAACAAGAACATTTGGTTTGGCGAATATCCAACACGTATTCAACACTCCTTCTCTGCCGGAGTTGTCAACTAGTTTTTTTTTTTAATATAATTATTTATACAATTTTAGATCAATTATGTAATGTCATTTTTAAAACAATGATTTTAAAATTAAAACCCTAACAATTGTTTACCCAAAAAAAAACCTAAACAATATAATAAAAGTTTATCCAGAGTCATAGCTAGTTTAGTTCTACTATAAATAACCATGGTTAAGTGATCTACTAACTCATGGTTTCTTTCATCTTGGGATTAGAGCAGAAGATTATGCTTCTCTAAGTGAATATACCTGACCTAGTTCTATAGTTTATACTTATACATGTTAAAATGTAATGATTAAAATAATTTGATAGTACAAAAGTTAGAGATTATTATTATTATTATTATTATTATTATTTACACCTTTTTTTAGATAAGAATTCATAAGCAAAAGTTTAATTTTAATGTACTATAGATGCAAATTTCATATTGAATAAGATTTACTGCACCTCTTTCACACATGTTGAAGTGCATTACCTCTCACAATCACAATAAAGACATCTGTCACCATGAACATTGTCAAGAATGCAGACTTGGAATCTAACAAGGTCGGGTGATGAATAAACTTCACCAAAAAATTACAACTAAGCTCTCGAGGAACAGTTAAACTACATTCACCAAACAGGGTATTGTAACGAGCATTGTGAAGACTGAAGAGCACACTTCATCGATTGGCACCATCTGGTTATCAAGAATTTAATTTATGGTGCAGTCCGTGGTTTTATAAGCATCTTCTACAGTTCATCCGTTTGAAATATCATAACAAAATATGTACTGCTCCTAGAGGAGAAGTTAAAAGAAACTAAAAGTTAAACCTATACCAACTCTATGACTTCACTTCCAATTCCAAAGATTGAATCCAAATCACCAGGCATCACAAATAAATCATCAGCAATAATTAAAGTGGCTATTTCATGAACAAAACCTTCATTGGTCTGTCCTCTGATATGGGACTAATTAGGTATCACCAATAATCTAGACATCTTTCTGCTAAAGTGACACATTTTATTGCTGAATGTCCTCAACAAGACACCACTTGGACTGCGATTGCAACTGATGGAGTCACATCTGAAGTACTTGTTAGGCTGTGTCATCAATGTTAAGCTTAATATTGTGGCAAAAAGTTTAATTCGTAAGATCCCCAACCCCCTTTCACTTACCTCAAAGGGCCGCCCAGTTCAAACCCACTGCGTGAGTGTTTGGAGAAGGGCAAATACGAGTCAAGCCTTACCCTTGCTTTGCAAGGAGGCCGAGTCGAATCCAGGACCTTGGACACCACGGCAAGCAAGCTTACCGCTGAGCCAAGCCGGCCCTTCAAAGTGAATGACAAATCTAGTCAGGATGATTAACAACTATCAAGGACGGTAATGATTTTTATCTTATTAACTAAAATGCATTTCTCTTATGAAGTCATATATCAGCAATAAAGAGTCAACAACTTTTGGATCCTCAACCCTGGTGAAGAGGCATTATTCAAAAATAAAATAAAAAATAAATTACACAAGAGGGTCATCACAAGAGTCTTACTTTTTCCACCTGCAAAGAATACTCATCAGTGAGTGAGTTTCTCGGCCCCCTTAGACCAATATTAAAACCCAGAAAAAATTTAATTGATGTATGAAATACTTCGGAAGAAATAAATATATATATGAAAAAAAGGCGTTTTTTTTTTTTTTGTCTCGAATCTGTTCCTGAAAAAGGATTTCAGAAAGTATTCGGGGTTAATTTCACATCTTTTGGTGGCTGAACGAAATAGTAATCTATAGATAAAAATGCATAGGTAGAATAATAATAGTGGCACCTAGAATGGATTTCACCATCAAAAGCATAATAACAATGAATAAAAAGGCCAAAAGAGATTGTACTAAAAAAAGAAAAGAAAAGAAGGCCAAAAGAGACATTTAACATCCATGGAGCTTCATGCATGATGTCGTAAAAGATTGCTGGAGGAATAATGCAAACTGGAGTGATGCTACACAAAGCTTTCGTAGAGTACTTCGAAAATCTCTATACGGAAGAAAAACCTCACCGGCCTATATATCCGATCACGGAGGTGTTTCCCAAGCTAACTGAAGTGGAAAGTTTAAAACTAGGTAGAATACCGAATGAAAAGGAGATCGAAGGTGCAATCTTTTCCATGGTTGCGTACAAAGCCCCAGGTTTTGATGGACTTCACGCAATCTTCTTTCAAACACAGTGGAAAGAAGTTGGCAAATCAGTTTGTGATTTGGTCAAAGAAATTTTTTTGGAACCAGGGAGAGTGAAAATGATTAACCAAACTTTCTTATGTCTCATTCCCAAGACTGACAAACCAGAGTCTATAACCTATTTTCAAAAATGAGATATTCATCACGGAAAAGGAATATGGTAAAGAAACAAATTCACCCAATAAGATGACAATGATGCTATTGACTTAACACATTTGGATGCATCAAACTTATGAGCTTAACCAGATTAATGTTTCTCCTATTATAGAAATAATTTTATCTTCTATACTTTCAAAAATGTCTGGGGCATGTAAAGGGAAGAGAAAGAAAAAGAAAATATAAATCCCACACAATTTTTTGTGTGTAAGAGATAAAATTATCTTTTACAACATGATAAACACTAATCTCATAAATAATTGTATATCCATTAGTTTTGATATATTTATTTTATGATACATCAATTTCTTTAAGAAATATGAATATTCTTTAATCACTCTTGAACTCAAGATAAGTGATAAAAATATGCCTACTTTAAAGAGAAAATATTTTTCTAACTTTATTATGGGTAAGGCTGGTATTACCGTTTAATACAATACATGACAATACAAAAATGACTGCAGGCTCCAACAGAACTGAAATATTTTGACCCGGCTAATACTATGTTCTCCCCATAATTTAGAAGAAATTTGCTAAAACAGATATTTAGCGCAATGGATATTTATACCACTATGAAAAACTTAATAAGGAAATTATCTTTTCTTTTATAGGTGTTTACTACACTATTGTAAGGGAGGTTGAGACATGCTCCAGTGAACTCAAATTTTAATGCCTCAAATATAAAGGGTGATGGAAACACACAATAACAAAATTGGGTTAGTAGATGCATCAGCGTATCCTTACACATACCAGTTGAGAAAAACTTTCAGTCCAGATTTGTTACATTTACAAACAAAGTGCTTATGCTGGCCAACTCTAACAGGGGCACCTTTGATTCCTTCCTACAAGCCTAACAATAGGGCCCAAGGGCAATGTCAAGAAGCTTAAAAGAACGTCAACAAAGTCCTTCCCTACAGCGAAGAGCAACTGATTTTTCAAACATTTGTCTACTACAATTCTGAAGGGAATTATCTCTAGTATTGCAGAAGAAACCAGATGATAGCTACCACTAAGTAACCAAATCAGTCTAATATTTAGGCTAAAAGCTTGTTGAAGCGTTCAGAATTCAAAATATACATGTAAGGAAAAAACAAAGAGTTGGTTATGGTGGGATAAGGATTACATGCCTAATGAGAGTTAAGAGATGGTATGCCACCCAAACACCAAATGCACTATCAACTTCTTTTCCATCTTCCCCAAAAATAATTGAAGGTTCCATGTAGCTTAAAGATAGAGAGAGAGAAAGAGAGAGAGAGAACACACCATGAACTTGCTTCAATTTGTTTGTACCAACTTGGCTAACTAGGTCTTATCAGGAATTTCCAAAGTGTTAAAGTATTGGAAAATACGGGTCAAGAAACTGTACAAACTAATTTGGAACTTTAGTTTTATACAAAGCCAATTGAGTGTAGGTATTGGCAAGATAAACATTCTGTCTTTTTCCCCATGATTCAATCCTTTTCTTAATAGTTGGTGTTGGTGACGACTACAGATTGACATTTGTACAAAATAGAAATCTATTTTGTTATGAAAACACACTATAGCAAACCAACTCTAGAAGCAAAACGAAGGAAGCTCAAAGGCAGCAGCACTTATCTTATCCTACAATGGTTGTCGCACTATAAGGTTCAAAAAGAGCATTGGACAAGAGGGAAGCTCAAAGACAACACAAGCATAAGATCAGAATTTAACAAACAATAGCCAGAAAGTGGGTGCACTGTAACTCAAATTACGATAAAGCAACAGGTTGTTAATTAGAAAAATAAGACAAAGTACATACCTAGCAGCTACTTATAAAAAGGAAGACATCAAGTAACTATTTACAGTTACTCATGTCCCATCTGTTATCATTTAAATGAAAGTTTACAAGTTCCAGAGAGCCTTGTGCACAAGAATAATTTGTCAATCATTTTGTTCTTTGCCTGTTCATTTGTGGTAGTGTGAAAGCAGAATGTCATGGACCGTAAATGTCTTGCATTCTGCATGATATATCTTGCAAATTGAAACTCACCTTCCCAGCCTTTATAATTCTTAAGATGGCAAGCTTTGAGGTGTAATGAAATGGATTCAGGAACAGATTGTGGGTATGGCCAATCTCCTCGTTCATCTTTGCGTCGTTGGAAGACTTTATTCTGTTAACAGTAGACATAAAATAAAATTAATAAAAATATGTGAAGAAGAAATAAAACAAAAAACATCCTTAAAGACTTGAACTTAGCAAACCTCATCAATGACAAGAACTTGAAGCTTGGGGCACTGCTTGAGCACTTCTATTACTACCTCAAGCCAATCATTTGTATAGGCAAGTTCAATATGGGTTACATTGTGAAACACAGGAACACACACATTATCCACCTGCAAGAGTTACAATAACAAAATATCAGAAATCCCATTGTCCTTAAAAATGAAAAATAATTACAAATAAATCACAGTTTTAGTACCTTTATGCACGAAAAATTTATGCACAGAAACTCTACATTACTAACTGCTTCCAACGGAACATGATGTGCATAAATATTTGCTCTGACCAACTTGGATAACCTTTTAAACGCTCCGTCAGGTAAAGAGTTACCAAAAAAGGAAATCCTTATCGCTTCCAAATCCTCAAGAACTGGGCACCGATAAAGAAGCTCAGCAAAACATCTACTTCTTAATTTAACGCAATTCAAATGCAGGACTTTAAGCAAGGGAAAATCAACATGTGAGAAAGGTTTCAAAGTTAATCCCTTCAACTTAAGAACCACAAGGGTTTTGGCAGGTTTCAGAACGCAATTAAAATACTGGTTTCTCCATGCATGACCCGGGTTTCCCATCCGGGTATTACGCAAATCGATGTCGAGGTGCTCAACTCCGCGTTGTGTTGCAGCATTAATCCATATTTTGATATCGTTAGGATGACAAGCATTACAGCTGCTAAGGCGGAATGTTCGGATGGATTGGTGCAAATCTCGAGAGAGGATAACTGAGTACACAGATTGAGTAAATTTCTCTTTGCCTAGTTCAGCAGCGTAGTCCAAGTGGAGAGTGGGGATTGAGAGCCAGAGTGGGTTCCACCTCTTGGAGAGAACACTGGTGATAACAGCTACTTTGATAGGCAAAAACGAAAGAATGTAGCATAAAACTGGATCGGATAAAGTGCTAATTCTATCAGCCATGGTTTGAAGTTCTATGACATAACTGAAATCTTACAAACACTTTTTCTGCGTCACGAACCTAGAAACGGTTCTGATCCTAACCCTAACTCACGACGTGAGTGTTAACAAAAATGACCACTTCAGCTTCTTAAAACAATAACTCAAAGCAATTCATGCCTTACCGGCTGTTGAGCTTGCCATCCACGAAACTCATGTCATCGGTTTGCTGAGGAAATGTTCGAGTTCGTACTCAGATTTCGAGATTCTCCAGTGAGGGAGAAGGGAGCAACGTGAGGAATAAGGGATTTGGGGCTCTGTTTGCACGGGAGTTGATGGGTTAATGTTAAATATTATATTAAATTTTTATTAAAAAATTATTTTAAATAACTTAATGTTAGGGGTGTATTGGGATTTTAAAAGATTAATTTGAGATAAATTTTTATATAAAATTTAAAAGATTATATATAATTATAGCGCCTTTAAATATTTTTTTAAAAGACTTATTTTAAAACCTGGTTGTTTAATGTATTAAATACTGACCCCGTGAATCAGGGTTCGGTTGACCCACTGACCCAGTATCTCGACCGAGTCGATGACCGATCCGAGTTTCAAAACACTGCTATTTATATTTTTCACTAAAAAATCTCACGAAATCTACATCAATAAAAAATGGGAGAGGTCATACTTACAACCTATTTTTCTTTACAACCTCTTACAACCAATATCTTAATCGTTGATTTCCGCCAATCAATGGTTAAGATTTATTGTGAATTAATAATTAATTAATAAATTGAATTGGAAAAAGTCTTAACCGTTGATTGACGGAAATCAACGGTTAAGATATTGGTTGTAAAAGGTTGTTAAAGAAAAATAGGTTGTAAGTATAACTTTCCTCATATAAAATTCACTAAAATCGTCATATTTTTAAATAAGAAAGATTATACTTACAACCTATTTTTATTTACAATATTTTACAACTATAATCTTAACCGTTGATTTCCGCTAATCAACAGTTATCGTTTATTGTGAATTAATAATTAATTAATAAATTTAATTTACGAAAATAATAATCGGTGATTGACAGAAATTAACTGTTAAGATTATAGTTGTAAAAGGTTGTAAACAAAAATAGGTTGTAAGTATAACTTTTCTCCTTTTAAATACCACAAGATTATTTTTTTTTCTTTGCTTAAAATCCTAATCGAATATTACGTGATTTTATTTTCAATCCTTTAAAATCTCAATTGAATATAAGTGGATTTTTCTCCAAAAATAATCTATTAAAATCTCAATCCAATAATTTTATTTTCAATTCTTTATTATGTCTCATTCTCAAGACTGACAATCCAGAGTCTATAACCCATTTTCCTCCGATCAGTCTATGCAACGTAGTTTATAAGGTAGTTACCAAAGTCCTTGCAAACACATATTAAGGGTGTGTTTGGTACAAGTATTTCAAAAGGATTAGGTAAACCTTCTTTGGTAAACCCAATTATCGTGTTTGGTAGAAGGAACAAAAATCAATTCCCGGATATCCAAGGATTACCTGTAATTTGATTTATACAGAAAAATCACTATTCAGATTACCAAAGATAATATGGTAATTCAGAATACCAAGTAAAGGAAAAGCACAACAATAATTGAGACAAGAATACTCCAACACACATAAAAAAACCTAGACCCAATCTTTCAATTACAAAAGTAAAAATAGTTTGGGGTTATTTTTGTAAAATAATCTCATATTCCAAGTCATATTTCGTTCTAAACCAAACATGGAATCAGTAATCTATCCAATATTCCCGATAATATTTTGGCGAACCAAACACATTTTTCGTAAGATTCCAAGTAAACTCAATTTCTATTGTATTCCCATTAATCGTGATTCCCAGATACCAAAAAATTTCTCTTGTACCAAACACACCACACGTGCGAAATCAGTACAGTTTGATAAAAGCCAGGAATGGAACAAATAATATTATCATTGCCCAGTAATTCATCCATTCAATGAGGCTCAAGAAAGAACAAAAAGGATGGATAGCGATCAAGGTGGTTAGTGGTACAGCCACTTGGAAACCAATTAGTGCCTTTGGTTATCAATATAAAAATGGTTATCAAGAAATTGAAAATGTTACATCAATTTCTTTAAGAAATATGAATATTCTTTAATCACTCTTGAACTCAAGATAAGTGATAATAATATGCCTACTTTAAAGAGAAAATATTTTTCTAACTTTATTATGGGTAAGGCTAGTATTACCGTTTAATACAATACATGACAATACAAAAATGACTGCAGGCTCCAAAAGAACTGAAATATTTCGACCCGGCTAATACTATGTTCTCCCCAAAATTTAGAAGAAATTTGCTAAAACAGCTATTCAACGCAATGGATATCTTATTAAAATAATAAATGAATGAAACGTTGAATATCTTTATACCACTAAAAAAACTTAATAGAGAAATTGTCTTTTCTTTTACAGGTGTTTACTACACTATTATAAAGGAGATTGAGACATGCTACAGTGAACTCAAATTTCAATGCCTCAAATATAAAGGGTGATGGAAACACACGATAATAAACTTGGGTTAGTCGATGAATCAGCGTATCCTTACACATACCAGTTGAGAAAAACTTTCAGTCCAGATTTGTTACATTTACAAACAAAGTACTTATGCTGGCCAACTCTAACAGGGGCACCTTTGATTCCTTCCCCACGAGCCTAACAATAGGGCCCAAGGGCAATGTCAAGAAGCTTAAAAGAACGTCAACAAAGTCCTTCCCTACAGCGAAGAGCACCTGATTTTTCAAACTTTGTCTACTACAATTCTGAAGGGAATTATCTCTAGTATTGCAGAAGAAACCATATGATAGCTACCACTAAGTAAGCAAATCAGACTAATATTTAGGCTAAAAGCTTGTTGAAGCGTTCAGAATCCTAAATATACAAGTAAGGAAAAAAAACAAAGAGTTGGTTATGGTGGGATTACATGCCTAATGAGAGTTAACAGATGGTATGCCACCCAAACACCAAATGCACTATCAACTTCTTTTCCACCTTCCCTAAAAATAATTGAAGGTTCCATGTAGCTTAAAGAGAGAGAAAGAGAGAGACATAGACAACACACCATGACCTTGCTCCAATTTGTTTGTACCAACTTGGATAACTATGTCTTATCAGGAATTTCCTATGTGTTAAAATATTGGAAAATACGGAGTCAAGAAACTGTACAAACTAATTTGGAACTCTAGTTTTATACAAAGCCAATTGAGAGAAGCCAATTTGATAGCACAAAAATTGGAGTCAACCAGTACTTTCGGAATCAAAAACAGCAGCACTTATCTCATCCTACAATGGTTGTCGCACTATAAGGTTCAAAAAGAGCATTGGACAAGAGGGAAGTTCAAAGACAACACAAGCATAAGATCAGAATTTAACAAACAATCGCCAGGAAGTGGGTGCACTGTAACTCAAATTACGATAAAGCAACAGGTTGTTAATTAGAAAAATAAGACAAAGTACATACCTTGCAGCTACTTATAAAAAGAAAGACATCAAGTAACTATTTACGGTTACTCATGTCCCATCTGTTATCATTTAAATGAAAGTTTACAAGTTTCAGAGAGCCTTGTGCACAAGAATAATTTCAAAATCATTTTGTTCTTTGCCTGTTCATTTGTGGTAGTGTGAAGGCAAAATGTCATGGACCGTAAGTGTCTTGCATTCTGCATGATATATCTTGCAAATTGAAACTCACCTTCCCAGCCTTTATAATTCTTAAGATGGCAAGCTTTGAGGTGTAATGAAATGGATTCAGGAACACATTGTGGGTATGGCCAATCTCCCTGTTCTTCTTTGCGTCGTTGGAAGACTTTATTCTGTTAATAGTAGACATAAAATAAAATTAATAAAAATATGTGAAGAAAAAACAAAACAAAACATCCTTAAAGACTTGAACTTAGCAAACCTCATCAATGACAAGAACTTGAAGCTTGGGGCACTGCTTGAGCACTTCTATTACTACCTCAAGCCAATCCTTTGTATAGGCGAGTTCAATATGGGTTAAATTGTGAAACACAGGAATACGCACATTATCCATCTGCAAGAGTTACAATAACAAAATATCAGAAATCCCATTGTCCTTAAAAATGAAAAGTAATTACAAATAAATCACAGTTTTAGTACCTTCTTTATGCACACAAAATTTATGCACAGAAACTCTACATTACTAAGTGCTTCCAACGGAATAAGATGTTCATCAATATTTGCTCTGACCAACTTGGATAACCTTTTAAACTCTCCCTCACTTAAACCAAAACAAGAAACCTTAATCGCTTCCAAATCCTCAAGAACTGGGCACCTAGAAAGAAGCTCAGCAAAGCATCTCTGTCTTACAAATTGAACGCAATTCAAATGCAGTACTTTAAGTAAGGGAAAATCAACAGGTGAGAAAGGTTTCAAAGTTAATCCCTTCAACTTAAGAACCACAAGGGTTTTGGCAGGTTTCAGAACGCAATTAAAATACTGGTGGTTTCTCCATGCATGACCCGGGTTTCCCATCCGGGTCATACTCAAATCGAAGTCGAGGTGCTCAACTCCGCGTTGTGTTGCAGCATTAATCCATATTTCGATATCGTTAGGATGACAAGCATTGCAGCGGCTAAGGCGGAATGTTCGGATGGATTGGTGCAAATCTCGAGAGAGGATAACTGAGTACACAGATTGAGTAAATTTCTCTTTGCCTAGTTCAGGCGCGTAGTCCAAGTGGAGAGTGGGGACTGAGCGCCAGAGTGGGTTCCACCTCTTGGAGAGAAGACTAGTGATAACAGCTACTTTGGTTGGCAAAAATGAGAATATAGCATAAAACTGGGTCGGGTAAAGTGCTAATTCTATCAGCCATGATTTGATGTTTTATGACATAACTGAAATCTTACAAACACTTCTTTTGAGTCACGAACCTAGAAACTGATCGTAACCCTAACCCTAATTCACGACGGGAGTGTTAACAAATCAGTGAATCTTACAATTCCGATCCTAATCCTAGTCACGATGTGAGTCAAATCAGTGAATCTTACAAAATCTTCTCAAGTCGTGTTTTCCACCAAATCAACCAAATTATCGAATGACCACTTCAGCTTCTTAAAACAATAACTCAAAGCAATTCATGCCTTACCGGCTGTTGAGCTTGCCATCCACGAAACTCATGTCATCGGTTTGCTGAGTAAATGTTCGAGTTCGTACTCAGATTTCGAGATTCTCCAGCGAGGGAGAAAAGAGCATTAGCAACGTGAGAAATAAGGGATTTGGGGCTATG